TTACACGTGTCATCATCTTGTCTCAATTTATCTGATGACGACACGTGTAACTTGCGTTGAAACGTTATGTAACCATATATTAAAGAAATGTGTCTTATCCCATAATTATTGTCTTGTGTTATATATGTGCTTTTCGCTTCTTAATGTCATTCAAATCTTATATGACTTAGGGCTGGGTGATATACAGGTATCATGATAAATACTGGTATAAGAATTTATATTGTTAGTAATATTATCTGATTCAAAAATACCCAAATATCACCATATCATGATATATAGTAATTATTGCTATATCATCAAATTTTCCTCCAGATAAGATCATCTACATAATTTTAACAAGTAATTTAATATTTGAAACAGATGTAGTTACATGATATTCAAGACTGGGGTGTTTTTAGAGATATTTAATGTTTTTTCTTACATTTAAAATTACTAACTACAAAAACAACATTTTGTATCAAAAAACATACTTAAGAAATATTGCGATATATACCCATATCATGATATCAACTTAAACCAATATCGCCCAGTCCTTATAGAATTCAGAAGTAGTAGTTATTCATGCCTTCCCCTTTTGCTTAAGTAAGATGTAAAACTCCATTTTATTTTGTTTCAATTACCTGTATCACTTTGCAGAATGCAAATATGTCTTCTGTTTCACTCTACTAAAAAAAAAGCTTAAAATCTTAAAAGTGATTGCTGCAAAAGATATGTAATTGACAAAGATTATATTATTGAAGAAACAAAGGCTCTCCTTATTTTATAGAAGACAAACACGGTGTCAGCTGTCATTATGACAAGTGATATGGGCAGCTGAAATTAAGTTCTGTCGACTTGAAAAGGCAAAAAATATAAAAATATATATTATAGAAGTTATTAAATATGGAGGGTTATATATCATCAAATCTCTAGACCAGTGCTTCTCATCCTTTATGATGCCATTCCACCCTTAAGAAAAAATTCTCTGCCATTCAACCCTAGCACTGTAAAACATCTAAAAAACTAAAAACTGAAACATGCTAGTAAAGAATTGTTTCAAACTTATATTTATAGAACACAGACTGCTGTTATACATATAAAATCAAATTTGGATATTTTTCCATGATTTTGTTGTCAGTCATCTTTGCTCCAGGTGGAAAAATCAGCTGTGAGGATCAGAAATTTCATGTTGGAACTCGTGCTCAATCTCTCCCTATCCAAATTCCCCCTCATTCCCAATTTCATCCCTGAAAATTTCAAATTTACCCCTGGGGGTGCATATTGATCCCAATTGAGAAGCACTGTTTTAGACCTTCATCCCTTTCATGTCTTTTTTCTTGTGTTTGTGTTTGACTTCTTAATCTATCCTATATCATAACCTCATATATAGCAGAATATCATTTTAATTTTAGTCTGGCGTCTGTCAGTCATTATTGTGAAAGCATCACAAGTTTACTCGGACGATTCCGGCGGGATAAAAATGTCAGAATGCAAATGACTTCTCATGATGAAAAAGTTCATGGATTTGAAAGGTGAGAAAACTGAGAATTCTGATTAAAATGCAGATCAAGATGTTTCATTTGCATGATTTTTCTGCACTCAATTACTCATGCCATCCATAATCTGACAAAATTTTTCTACTAATTGTGTTCTATGTTTGACCTTATAGCACCAATCAAAAAAACTGTTAAAAGTGGTAAAGCAAAAAACAAAACAATATTTACCAATGAATATGCCAGAATTCCTCACATAGTGAGAGAATCCTTGCTTTTACAAAGCATTTGATTGGTTGGTTGAATGACCCAGAATAAGAGAATGCATAATAAGTTTGTCAGATCACCGAACATCCAGATTTGCATTTTAATCAGATTAGAACTCAATCTTTTTTCTGTAGAATATTCTACTATTTAATCTTGATCTGAAGATGTTTTATTGCTTTGATATCTCAGTTTGCAAAAATATGCAATCAATCAAATGTTGATGTTATAATATATATTTTTTGGAATTCTTGGCTAGTCATCATGTACTTAGACCACATTTAACAGATTGAATTAAACATATATAGTTCTTAAATGGATTAAACCACAAAAAAAAAGAGAAAAATGTAATTCTGCAGTTTATTCCGATGGTATTCATTATGGTCTATCTTATGTAATATGGTGTTTATTTGCTTATAAAACTGTGTAAGGAAAAGCTTTCCTTGCAAATTTGAGAGAATTCTGACCACAGGTTTGAGACTTCTTTGGCCTAATGGCTTGTCCCATGATAAAGATGATCTTTCATATTTTGGCGATGAATACACAATTTCTTTTAAAGGGACAGATGCTCCATTTTTTTTTTACCTATTATACTTTAGTCTCAGTAATCTTCAGCCAATCAGTAATAGTGTTGACAGCTCTCTGTCAAAATCTTAAAATCCACGTGTGTCTAGAATTATCCGCATTTGAATGTTAAAATGACGACTCATCAATTTAAGATACTCTGTGATATATAGAAAAAGACATTTATAGAAATAGTGAGAAAAAATCTTAGTTTGAAGTATTTTTAAAGGAATTATGCGATTTCTAGTACAAGACTATTTACATATATTCAAGAATAAAATCAACCCCCCAAAATGCACCATCTGTCCCTTTAATGAAAATGTTAAATGAACTACTAAAACTCTGAAATGCCAGCCAGGTAGTACCTCTTCTGCATGACAGGTTTGCATGTTTTATTTATGTATTTTGGATGGATATTGAATTTTGACTCTTGATATGCACTAATCATATTAACACTTGATAATGATATGCACTATAATCTGGGTTGTAGCCTTGTGTCTAGTTTGGGTTATGAGTGGTGCTTTTTAAATGATTAATATTGATATATTTACAGTGATGGTAGTATCATCATATTATTAATATATGTATCATAAGAATTAGTCTCTTATAATCATGGTATTCTGTAACTTAATACATTATGTATTATTAGATATGGTCTCTTATAATCATTGTATTTATTGCTGACATCAAACTTATTAATTATGTATCATTAAAAATGGTGTCTTATGATCATTGTATTTATATACATCAAACTTTTTAATATATGTATCGTTAGATATGGTCTCTTATATTCATTTTACATCAAACTTATTAATATATGTATTAGAAATGATCCTTAATATATTCATCGTATTCATTACATACATACATCATTACATTAATATATGTATCATTAGAAATGGTGTCTTAAAATAATTGTATTCATCACACATCATCATTATATTTATAAATGTATCATTAGGAATGGTGTCTTAATATAATTGTAAACATCAAACATCATCATTATATTTATAAATGTATCATTAGGAATGGTGTCTTAATATAATTGTAATCATCAAACATCATCATTATATTTATAAATGTATGTATTCATCATACATCATCATTATATTATCATTAGAAATGATCTCCTAAGATAATGTATTCTTCATGCATCATCATTATATTAATATTATGTAACATTAAATGTGGTCTTTTAAATATATATATGGCTTGTTATCTTTTTTTCTTCAATCATTAGGGCATACCAATTTATTTTTTTTTGTTTTACCTAAATTTTCAAAAAATTCTTTTATTCCCAATGCAAGAAAAACAAATTATTATCAGTAATTCCTATAATAATAATAATTTTTTTGATCAAATCAATACTGAAAAAGTTTCTTCTCATATGTAGTTAATACTAATAATGCAATGATATTCATAATAACTGCATGTGAAAACAGCACTTTGTTTCTTTAATTGTAGGACAACTTTGTTTCAGAGTTTGAATCTGAAAAGTGATATGGTTAGCTGAAAAAGGGCTATATCAGCTGATAGCAAATGTTTTGAGGACTTTAAGATGATTTCATGATTTCAATGTTGCTTTCAAATCTGATCTGTTGGCTGGTTTGGTAGATCATTTGGTAAAGCATTACCACTCTTAGTTAACTCGTTTATTGCCCATTTTGTTTTGAAATTATTTTACATCTTTGAAATTGCAGACAAAAGTTGGAAAGAGTTTGTATGAAAAATAGGAATCTACCAGATAATCATTGTTTCTCCAATCTACAGATCATGTTTTCACAAGCCTTCACATATCTTAGGTAAGTATTATGTACAATCATGTTATGTACAATCATGTTAGGTACAATCATGTCATGTACAATCATGTTATATACAATCATTTTGTGTACAATCATATTATACACTATCAATCATATTATATACTATCAATCATGTTAACTATAATGTTATGTTCAATCATGTTATGTACAAGCATATTATGTTCAATCATGTTATGTACAATCATATTACGTACGATCATGTTATGTACAATCATGGTATGTACAAATCATATTATGTACAATCATATGTACAATCATGGTATGTACAAGCATATTATGTACAATCATGTTATGTACAATCATATTGTGTACAATCATGTTATGTACAATAATTTTACGTAAAATCATGTTATATACAATCATGTTATGTACAATCTTTTCATGTACAATCAAGTTCTGTACAAACAATACAATTCCATTAAACAAAATCCTGTCCAAAGCCTTGCAAATTTGAAAGTAAAAAGTATAGTAGTGGACTATCCAAAGAAGAGTAAAATTTGATTGGACGCGATTTAGATGAAGGTATTGTCAGATGATGTCTGACAAGCTTCACCAATACATTTTTTTTTTCAAGGCCTCTGATTCGTGCTATTGGAAGATTAGATAAAATAGAAAAGAATATTGAAAGTGTAATTGAGTGTCAACAGTTATTGAGTGCACGATTAGATACGGTAATATTTTTAAATATATTGGATGTTTTTTAGCAGAAATGATGCAAACCCAAAGGAATTTTTTCCAAGTATTCCTAAGAAGTTTACTAGTTATCTGTAACACCTTTTAAACTGCAAACAGTGTTAAAAATTCTATGCTGTTTTTTTAGATATGTAAATCTATGTTGGGATTATGGCCACATGATATTTAAGATTAGCTTAAAAATGGACCAGCCTAGAGAATCACAAATGGTACAGTTGTGTAATTAAAGGAATAGATTTACCATCCTTTTGACCAATCGTACCATAGTCTCGGAAACTGGATTTCTTTTGATAAGCTAACCAGTAATAGTGTTCACAGCTCACTGTCAAAATTTAAGCTTTCAAAAAAATTTTTTTTTTTCTAGTTTGAAGTATATTTGAAAGGATAATGCGATTTTAATGCAATTCTAGTAGTTCTGAAGATTATTTACATATATTCAACACCCAAATCAACCCCACCGCAAATGGCAAACTATAACCTTTAATATTGGCCTACTTGAATTGATAAGAGCAACAGCAAATTTCAAATTAGAGTGATAAAACAAGATTTCAGATTTATTTTTAAAAAAAAGTACATATTTTGTAGTTTTCATTCACTTCTTTACGTGTATTTGAATTACAGCAAACTGATAGAGCATGTGAAATGCTATCTAAATTAAAGGCAAATCCACTGACAATGGGAAGAAATATTGGTAGCTCCATCAGTAATATACAACCTACACCAAGCAGAGATCCTGGATATGGATCTGCAACTCCAGAAATATCAGCGAATCCTTCAAAACAAGCAAATCCAACAGAGATTACTAATGCGTAAGTACAATTAGCATCATTGTGTTCAAACTACATCCCCATTCGTCATACTTCTTCAAGACTGTGGTAATACAAGTGAGAGAAATTACATATTTATAGCTTAAAGGGACAGTTAGGCCATTTTTTTCACCAATCATAATTTGGTCTCAGGGACGTGAATTTTTTTAGCTAAGCCAATCAGTTATAGTGTTCAAAACTCATTATCGAAATTTAAGCCTTCAAATCCATGTTTGTGTAGAATTAACCGCGATTGAATGTTAAAATAACGACTCATCAAATTAAGATACTCTGTCATATATAGAAATACATATATAGAAATAGTGAGTAAAATTCCTAGTTTGAAATATTTTAAAAGGAATTATGCAATTTTCGTACATTTCTAGTACTTCTGGTTTTTACATACATTCAAGACTAAAATCAACCTAAAAAATGGTGCATCTGTCCCTTTAATATTGTCTAATCAAATTTTACCCTAAAATGGTTCTAGTAAATCTCAGTCAAGCGAATCAAAAATCAGCATATCTTGCTTGGCAACCACTGGTTGATTTTTAGCTAAACAGATGTTTACTTTCTTTTTCTTTTGATTCCAGAATTGCAGAGTTGACACTTGATGCTGCAGAAATGTCCAGACTTGTTGAAACCAGCAATGAAATTTTAAACAGGTAAATTCCTGGTTTTTAGTGATGGAATAATCTTTGTCTGAATTCTATATTGAGATATAGCTCATGATGTTTCATTGATTTTCTGTGGGCCACCTCACCAATTGAAAGTTTACTCTAACATAATCCAACCATTTTTATAAAATTGTTCAACTAGTCAAATGCTCTGTTTTGTATGAGTTTACATTGATTAGTAAGATATTCTGGATTATTCATTTTTTTAAGAATTTTCAAAAAATAGAATTATGGGTTTGACCGAAGAAATGAGATTTTTAGTAACTTTTTAATGAAATATTTGATATATGACTTTGTACATTTTTTCCTTATTTTTGCAGAGTTTTCCTGCAAGATACGTTGTTTAGTGATGGATCAATGGTTGATGCTGCTACCTCAGACGGATGAATTCTGTTTTGAAAACACTGATGTCATCAATTTGTACCATTCCAATTTTCAATCAGACGTCTGTAGTTCCTGTAATTCTACATATGTTAAAAGGTTTGTTAAGAATTGCAAGAACCACAGACGTCTGATTGAAAATCGGAATGTCCTGAGACAAAAATCAAAATTATAAGTTAAATTGGAGATGAAGCAATGATCAGATTGTAATATTGAAAAGTTCTAAGAATATCTTGTTGAAGGCAAGGTTAGATATATAAATATATGAGAAAACTTGTATGTAACTGTAATTGCAAATTTGCCAAATCTGTTGGATAATTTAACACATTAGCAGGTTTGCTTCTTACAGTTGCAGATTTTTTTTTTCACCTAAAATTATCTGATTATAACCTGGTTTATCTTAGATTTTTTCATATTTCTGGTCTCATGTTATTTGTAAAAATTTCACTATATTTTAGTGACTTATTTGTAATCGCATATGATTTGGCATCGTATCCAGAATAAGGATTTGGACATAGTCTTATGTGGCTTGGACGTGAAGGGGTTTTGGACAAACAAATCTCATCAGTACATATCGTGGGTGACTGCTTGAAACCTCGTATATGCCATATTTGGTTATTTGAATTTTTGGTACCGTTGGAAAGCTCGTAAAAGCGCGGACCTTGTGATCAAATCCTCGTATTCTTAGCTTGATTGTAAATAACCCAAAAACCACTAATTAAATAACACATATATATACAGTCAGATTTAAAACCTCGCAAAATATATTATTATACGAGTTTTTGGTTCAATAGGCCGGAGATCTCAAATTTTTATACGAGGTTTATATTTTCCAAGAATGGAAACCACGTATAACGGTAAAAAAAATAATAAAAAAAATTTTAACAAAATACGAGTACAAATAGATTTTTGCGTTTTTTTCGAAAAGTAATTCCGCGCCATATATCGTTATATACGAGGTTTCAAGCGGTCACCCACGATATTGGACTCTAGTGTTTGAGCAAAGTAAACTGTGTTTATACATACAATGGCAAAGTGTGGTATCTCTGCATGTAATCTTCCCGACAAATTTTTAACGTATGAACTTTCGTCAAACATGGGAATAATAAAAGAGCTGAATCTGTCTTATCAAACTTAGGCCGTTAAAGGGACTGGTGCGCCATTTTTTTTGACCAATCATACTTTAGTCTCATGAACAGGAATTTTTAAGCTCAGCTTTTCAGTAGAATCAGTGATAGTGTTCACAGCTCACCATCTAGATTTGAGCCTTCAAATCCATGTGTATCCAGAATTATTCATGTTTGAAAGTAAACATGACAACTCAACATACTCTGTAATATATAGAAAAGACTTATATATAAATAGAAAGTAAAATTCCTAGTTTGAAGTAATTTTGAAGGAATTATACCATTTTTGTTGTACTTCCAAAGGCTATTTATATATTCAAGACACAAATCAACCCATGGAAATGGCACATCCGCCCCTTTAATAACGCCTGTGTGTTATAATAATGTGTTACAAATTAGAACTTAACAAAAATTATAAACTGTGTATTTTGTGTTGTAAATTTAATAGATGTCAAATAAATGATTTGAAGATTATACAGGTAGATGTATATCACTTATTTTTCTTACTTTTTAAAGCACTTATTCCAATAATATACTTATCATAATTTCTAAGTATTGAATTAATCATTCTGTACATACTTTTCTCAACTTGATTTCTAATATCCACAGCTATCTTATAGTATATGGTAAATCTGTTTATGGTAGCCTGATACAATTTTGGTCTTTTCAATATTTGCTATACTATATAATGAAGCTGATTTCAGCTATCAATAGCCATTTTAAGATTTAAAATTTTATTTTCATTCAATTCAATGTAAGAGTACAGCATCAGTTTAGACTGTGGTCAATTTTAAGTGATACTACATTTAAGAATAAACATGAAATAGAAGTTCTCAAGAATGGTCAATATGAGTATATATATTCATCAGTGAACTTACCTGGTGTCATAAAGTTACAACAGAATCCCTGTAAAATCTGGAAAATTCATAAAACTAAGTAATGATTACATGCATATTTATGGATAATTACTAAGTTTTTTGGATTTATTGGATTATATAAGGATCCTGTTATGTTACGACACCAGGTATATCTACTGATGAATATATACTCTTATTGGCCAAGTTTAAAATTCTTCAATTTTATCTTCATTCTTAGATGTAGTATCACTTTAAAAAGACATAAATTACATTCTTCTGTACAGTTTTGACCAATGATGTGATATCATTATATCAATAGAATGTACATGAGAAGTTTTATAACACCATATTGTAAGTTATATCTGTCTTACTAGGTTCTGTACACTTTTGCTGAATTGCAGGCGAACTAGGTTTCAGATTTTAGTTCTGAATTTTTAGCTTTTATCAATTTTTATAATTAAAATCCATGACATTGTACTTCTGCAACAAAAGTGTACCAGTTGGAGTAATTTAGACTAGCAGGAGAACCAAAACCTTATTTTAAAAAGTTGAAATTCAGCTCAGTCAAATGTTAAAAATATTAAAAAACTCAATACCTTAAACATAAACAAAGTTAAAGCTGGCAAATAACGGAGGAATTGCTAAAACGGGTTATTCAATTTTGAATTTTCAATTTTTGTGAAGTTGATATATTTTAAATTTTGTATTATATTAATCTGTAAGTTTTGTGTTATTTTCTATCCAAATCCCTATTTTTGTACAGTAGTGCTTTAACGCTAGGGGCAGACCAGCAAAAAAATCACCAGCAGCCAATCTGACTGTCAAATATTATCAGTATCAAGTCTAATATTGATCACCCAACAGAATACGCCGAACTCAGGCAGACGAGCAAATTTAATTGGCATAAATAATTGGCATAGATAAATAAACATATTTGTACAGGCTTAATAATAAAGTTTACATGAGCGGTCAATGCAATGAAATATTATAAAGTCATGGAATTTAACAATTAGCTTATAGCTATAAAAGGAAAAAAGTTTCTGTAAATGTTTTAAGATTGGTATGCTTTTTGAAAGGAGTTTAGATTTAAGTAAAATAAACTGTAAATGATCGAATATAAATTATGTCTCCTACGTTTCCTAAAGGTTTCAACTATATCAATATCAAGCCATTAGAAAGCCAAACACCAAATAAAATAATACTCTCTGTTTTTAATTAACTCTTTTAAAACATATTCAGTGAGATCAAGTAGATAGATGTAAATAACTAATTTGTGAAATATTTTCAGGTATAATTTATGAGGTGTTTTATTGTGCACACAGGTACTGTTCCTTCAATAAAGCTATTTTGTTCTGGTATGTTTTTTATTACCAGGTATTAACTTGTAATGCCATTTTACAGAGTAATCACTATCATGCAATGTCATACAGGGTGGCTCAATGAGTTAGACTCTTGCTCTGCTAACCTGAAGAAGATGCAGGGTTCAATCCCAGTATAGGTCAAGATAATACCTTTGGATCTCTAAACCCCTTTTCCTCAACTCAGTGATGCAGGTTGCTGACATGGAGAAGTGTCTAATGTGACATTAAATAAGGATGTGTGCGCTAAGATCCCACAGATGGAATTTCGAAAAAGAGTAGGCTCTGTCCCCTGTAAAACTGCATTCACTTTTTCGCAATGCCATAGGGGTGGCATTGGGCAATGAGTCTAACCAACCCCCTCACCTTTGTTAGCTTCCCTTATTTCAAATCTTATCATTCAGTTCTAAAATGTCTACCTGCTAGTAATCCTAGATCAAAATAATCTTCATATTCATCTCTGTTTAATTGTCTTCAGGAGTTAATTAATCTATAACTTGGTTACGAATCATACAATTAGATACAGTTACGAAATTTACCATGACCTGGGTGGAAGTTGGATACCTTCTGGTTGACTTTGACCTTGACCTGTCGTCCTTAACCTTCATTCACGTGTCGAACTACTGGCTGTCAAATTGGGAATTTTTGAGGAGATATATTTTCTTGATGTCAGCCCACCTCGGCTTCAATTTTTAACTCCAAAATGGCTGCAGGTGATAACTCTATCATTAATGTGCCTGAAATAGACAATTTGTTTAAAATAGATGGCTATTTGAAAACACACGAACAAGAAATTCGTCGAAGGTATGGTTGTTTCCAAACGTTGGTTGGAAAAATCGAAAAAAGTGAAGGCAGTTTAGCCCAATTTGCTGAAGGTTATAAGACCTATGGAATTCACCGGCAGAATGACAATAGTATTAGTGCTGTGGAATGGGCTCCAGGTGCAGAGGCAGTATTCCTGAAAGGTGAATTCAATAACTGGGCAATTGAAAGTAGCTGTGAATTCAAAAGGTCAGATTTTGGAAAGTGGAAATTAAGCATTCCTGCCAACAGTGATGGTACCTGCCCTATAAAACATAATACTAAATTGAAACTGGTTATTAGAACCAAATCCGGAGAAATGGTGGAACGGATCTGTCCCTGGGCTAAGATTGTGGACAGACCAAAAGATGTGCCAATTTATGAACAGATATTTTGGGACCCCCCAACTAATGAGCAATATACATTCAAACATTCTCGTCCTAATAAACCAAACAGACTCCGTATCTATGAATGTCATGTTGGTATTGCCTCTTGGGAAGGAAAGATTGCAACTTACAAAGAATTTACTCAAAATGTAATTCCAAGGATAAAGAATCTTGGATATAATGCTATTCAACTGATGGCGATTATGGAGCATGCTTACTATGCCAGTTTTGGATATCAAGTGACAAGTTTTTTTGCAGCTTCAAGCCGTTTTGGTTGTCCTGAAGATCTTAAAGAATTAGTTGATGTGGCTCATGCTAACAATTTGGTTGTTTTATTGGATGTGGTACACAGTCATGCCTCTAAAAATGTGGCAGATGGCTTGAATCAATTTGATGGCACCAATTCTTGTTTCTTTCATGATGGTAGTCGTGGAAACAATGACTTGTGGGATTCACGTTTATTTAACTACACAGAATGGGAAGTCTTGCGGTTTCTTCTGTCTAATTTAAGATGGTGGATGGATGAGTACCAGTTTGATGGATTCAGATTTGATGGAGTAACTTCCATGATTTATCACACTCATGGTATTGGACATGGTTTTACTGGGGACTACAATGAGTATTTTGGTTTGAACACAGATACCGAATCTCTTACCTATCTTACTGTAGCTAATTATTTTCTGCAAACTACTTATCCGAACGTCATCACCATTGCTGAGGAAGTTTCTGGAATGCCAGCTCTGTGTAGACCTATTGCTGAAGGTGGAAATGGATTCGATTACAGATTAGCTATGGGGTTACCAGATATGTGGATCAAATTACTCAAAGAAAAATCAGATGATGAATGGGAATTGGGAAATATTGTCCACACTCTAGTCAACAGACGATACGGAGAAAAATGTATTGCTTATGCTGAGAGTCATGACCAGGCTTTGGTAGGAGATAAAACTCTTGCCTTCTGGTTAATGGACAAGGAGATGTACACCCACATGTCGGTTATGTCAGGAGATAACATAATCATCGATCGTGGTATGGCTTTACATAAAATGATCCGTTTGATCACCATGGGATTGGGTGGAGACAGTTATCTGACATTTATTGGTAACGAATTCGGTCATCCTGAATGGTTAGATTTTCCCAGAGTGGGTAACAACCAGAGTTTTCATTATTGCCGTCGACAGTTTAACCTAGCTGATGATCCATTACTCAAATACAGATTTCTGAACAACTTTGACCGAGACATGATGAGATTAGAAGAAAAATATGGATGGTTAGCTCATCCACAAAACTATGTCAGCTGTAAACATCAAGGAGATAAAGTGATAGTCTTCGAGAGAGCTGATAAACTTATCTTCATATTTAACTTTCATCCTTCTCAGAGCTTCACTGATTATAAAATAGGTGCTGAAATGCCAGGGAAATATAGAATCGTTCTGGATAGTGATTCCGAAGAGTATGGAGGGCACCGAAGACTGGATCCCAACACAGAGTATTTAACATTTAATGAACCTTGGAATGGTAGAAAAAATCATTTATTTGTCTATATTCCTAGTAGAGTTGTGCTAGTATTAGCTAGAGTAGAATAAAATGATTTATGATAGATATATTTTGAGTCTTCAAACTGCAATGAAATTGTAGGCTATTATTCTTGAAACTTATAGTGATATAGTCATCCAAAAATGTAATCAACGACAGTCAGTTGAATCAATTATAATTAATACCCTTGTTCTCTTAGTTAAGATAAATAACAATAATTCTTAACAGTCATGATTTTTTAAATAATGAAATTTCCTACTTTACATTTGTCTCACATCAGTGTGAAGTTCTATATCAGAATTTAGGTCACAATTCATTCTATTTATGATTAGTTAAAGGGAGAGGTGCACCATTTTGGGGGGTTGATTTTATTCTTGAATATATGTAATAGTTTTCAGAAGTATTAGAAATGTACGAAAAATGCATAATTCTTCAAAAATATATCAAACTAGGAATTTCTCTTTTATGTTTTTATATATGTCTTTTGTATATATGACAGTGTCTTAAGAAAAGAAGACTCGTCTTTTTAGCTTTCAAACACAGATAATTCTAGAAATTTTGACATTGAGCTGTGAACACTATTACTGATTAACTTAGCTAAATAATTCCTGTTTCTGAGACTAAAGTGTGATAATAATGGCGCATCTGTCCCTTTAAGTTGCATTTGTGCCACATCTCAAATTTTTGACAGTGAGCTGTGAACACTATTACTGATTAACTTACTAAAAAAAAAATCATGTTTCTGAGACTAAAGTGTGATTGGTCAAAATAATGGTGCATCTGTCCCTTTTAGTTGCATTTGTCTCACATCAATGTGAATTTCTAAATCAGAATGTAGGCTACTCTTTATTCTCTTTATAAATGTGTAGTTTTAGTTAAGTTTTTGATAGACATACCCCTTGTCTATCATCCTTTTGAAGTGTTGTTATTGCTAGCGATGTAACAATGCCAGTTTATCTGCATGGGACAATGTTCATACATGGACACTTGGACTTTGTCAAAACTGATCTCACTAAGTTTGAAAAGCAAATATTTAGGCAATAATATCTGATAAGCTTAAGAATAAAAATCCATGAGTTTGTTGAAACAAAGATAATTTGCAATCCTTGTATCTCATGTTTTATTGGTTTAGATTGTTTAAGTTTAAGCCATGTATCTTAGAACAGGCTCAGGAATTAAGATATTTATCAAAAATATATAAATGACCCTTTTTGATATAGGCATTTTTGGACATTGATTTGTGTGCAATAATTTTGAACCGTGGCTCATATATCTTAGGGACTGGTTGAACCAAGTCCATGGGCCATCAGCCCAGAAAACAATGTAGGAGAGCATCTATATACAATTTCCCAGGGGAGGGGCCCCACTCATGTAGTTGAGACACTGATGGCAAGATAAAAGTATCAGTAATCAAGATTGAATTAATTCTACTAGTCTTGTATCTAGATATAGATTTGGTATATTTTATGATATATTAAGTTTCTTGAATATCCGGTAAAAATTTGAAGAGTGACAGATTAACAGGGTATTTACCTCAGATTTACGCCTTTTCTTTAAGGGTGAAACTATTTGTTATATTTTCATTTTCTAAAAAAGAAAACGTTTGGACATGGGTGCAGATCGCGGTGGGTCACAGGGGACAGGGCCCCTACCACTTTTCTCAGTGGTGGGGATATGATACGGTTGGTCCCCACAACTTTTTGTGGCTTATATGATTATCAAAATGTATGGTCATATCCGGTGTTTCCGGTGATCAAATTTTCTAGGAAAAGGTCCCTAAAACCCTCTGCTGGTATGCCTTGGTGCCAGCAGATGGCTTCATCTCCATGGTCTCAAATGGGGAAAAAGGGACTACTTCTCTAAACAGCTTGTCCCCACAAATTTTATTAATTATCAATAGATCTGTGCCCCTGTGGAATATAAAATATTGTTTTGTGATTGAAGATTATATTATGAATTACTAAATATGTTGCTTTTATATGTTATGTTATATCAGTATTATAATCCCGGTAAAATTATGTGCCATATAAACAAATAAGCTTTATTCGTGACTTTTTTTTTAAGTGACTAGCAAGAAACACCAGGGTTCAATCCAGTCAAAGGTCAAGATATTACCCTCAGATTATTCAGCTCCATTTCCATGTAAGTGATACAGGTAGGAAGCGGAAACATGGAAAAGCGTCATGTTATGTCGGACAATAAACCAAGGCCCCTTCATGCTGTGCACAAAGGCAAATTTTTAAAGCATCATTCAATTTTCTGCTCAAAAATTCTTTTACGTGCCCACAGATGTCATTGGCGATATTTTATACCCGTATATATGAAATTAGCTTGTCTCCCCCTGTATGGCGTATTTTGTCATGCGATAGATATTTTTAAACTAATCGGATTTGATGCTGATATCATGTGACGTTCAAAACCGCTGACTCCACGATGGTGTAACAATCATGTGATCGAATGCAAAATTCGCTGATTGGCCAGAAAATTTCGCTGGTGATTAAAATACGCTCTTCTGTCCCTAGCAATAGATATTATAAATGAATTATACATTAATTCTCTTCTCGCATCTTGTTGAGCTAAAGAAATTTGAAGTAAAAATAAACAACGATCAATATGGATAATAACCTGTATTATAAGGTGTTATTCAATATATGGATAAACCTACATAATATAACAATCAAGATATAATAACTGTTTGTCACATCAAGTAAGATGGAGAACTATATCAGATTTCTTATATAACCATACAAAACAAACATACATTATACCAATCTATAGACATAGTAGGCTTTAACAGAATAGTTCATTCAATATTTAAAGGGATTGTCAAGACGTTATCTACAAATTTTTCATGAGTATCAGGGACACTGTACCATCAATTTGCACCATTTCAAATTACAGACGTTTCTGGTTCCTGCAGTTCAATTAAACTAAGTATTCGATGATGTCACTAGTTGTGATAAGGTATATTTTGCGATTAGTGATGTCATCAAACACATATATTTTTTGTTGTATTACAAGAATCACAGCAAATCGATTTTATCAGTGTCCCTGATACGCATACAAAATTTAGAAGTCCTCTTTACAATCCCTTTAATTTACCAGCAGTTAAGCAAATTTCACATATCCTCATACCTTGTAAGAAAGGAAAAATAACATTTAGTTCGTCTACAATTGAAAACAGATCTAAAAATCAAAATCAATCGAGACTGTACCAAACAACTGAATGTAGGTATTTCAATATTAGTTTAAATAGAGGACTAGCTAGACATAAAGTTTTCAGTTTGAAAAGTCATCCAGAAAGCTGAAATTGATATTAAATGGTAAATTAAGCTTTATTTCAAAATCAAGTTGTGCATATTTATGAAGGAATTTTCTGCCATTCAAAGATAGACATTCTTAAAACTGATACACTTTGTTAAATTCAAATTTGTCTGTGCCTAAAAAAAAAACTCTACATGTATTTTGAACTCAAATTTAACACTAAAATTTCACATAATATTCAGTGGCATAATCTAATAGTAAATAGAACTAAATTGTTATAAAAAAATTTTAACAATGTATATATAATATAAAGAGAAAATTACAATTTAAAAATCTATATTAAAGGATAACAATTATAGGGCAATAATTTGTAATTCACACACCACATATAGATTACAATTTAATCCAAATTAGATTACAATTTCGTATCTTTATTTATGTCTAATATTTTTTATCTACATTGTAATCTAAGAGGTTTTCTACCAAAGGCCTGTCCCAATGGTAATATTTTAAACCAATCAAAGTGTCTCATGTAAAATCCAAATTGTGGGATAGTGAAACCCAAAGGTTGTTATATTGTTCTACTTCAGGTTTCGATATCCCACAATTCCTTATTTAAGCAAGATTTGGGTTATACATGAGACACTTTGATTGGTTTAAAATACTACCATTGGGACAGGCCTATGGAAGAAAACTTCGGAAAATGAAAAAGATACAAAACTGTAAGGTAATTTTAATTAAATAGTGTATTATAATATTATGGTGCAGTATAGGGGTTCTTGAAAGCACATAAAAATCCATTAGAAAAGCATTTATCTGGTGTTGGTTGTTATAGAAGATACTCTCTTATATAAGCACCGGCCAAGGTCACAAGAAGAGAACATACTTCTTTTGTATCAATTATCATTTTGAGTAATAAAGATTAGATTGAAATGGTACTATAAAATATGTTCTTCGCTGTGTGCAAAGAGAAATAACAAAAATGTAAATTATAGAAAGACTGGAATAATACAATGTTTACAAATAATACAAAAAACATTTTCTAAAAACTTTTTTTGTGAAAGCTTTGAAAAGCAAATTTCTTTATACAGTATATTGATATAATAATGCCAATAACATTGTAAAATTGTAAAAGGTGAAAAATTGTCTATTTTCAAAGCATTATACTTTGGGGTATTGAAAAAAACAAAATCTGGTTCCTTTTAACACAGACCTAAATGCAAAATGACATAAAAGTTCGATAGAAATGGCAATATCATTGTACAGGTGCTTGTATTTTGTACCAAAAATATGCATTGTACAAAAGTGAAAATTGAAAATTTTTGCAACATAAAGCTAATTTAAACGTCTCCTTACGTGCAAAAATCTTTAAAGACATCCAAAATTTAAAGGAAGACAAAAGCATGTTGTAGACAAAAAACAGCATAGCAAAATTTGACTTATTCTTACTAAGCTGGTATGTATTCTGATATGTAAAAAATGAAAAGTGGATAATTTCCAGGAGGGTAATAATTCATTCAATTTTGATCTAGAATGTTAAGTAGAAAATAAAATTCCTTGCATCTAATCCAATATTCAAATTTAGGATTAAACAGTATAGCATCTTGTTTCAATTTTTACTCAAATAATCTATCCCGTCAGAATTGTCCAGAAGTTACTTATCTTTAAGTTCAAGATACTCTAAATGTTGCATCTTATCTTTAAGTTCAAGATACACTAGATGTTGCATCTTATCTTTAAGTTCAAGATACTCTAGATGTTGCATCTTATCTTTAAGTTCAAGATACTCTAGATGTTGCATCTTATCTTTAAGTTCAAGATACTCTAGATGTTGCATCTTATCCTTAAGTTCAAGATTTTCTAGTTGTTGCATCTTATCCTTAAGTTCAAGATACTCTAGATGTTGCGTCTTATGTTAAAGTTCAAGATACTCTAGATGTTGCATCTCCTCCTCAAATTCAAGATTTTCTAGATGTTGCATCTTATCTTAAAATTCAAGATTTTCTAAATGTTACATCTTATCCTGAAGTTTAAGATTTTCTAGATGTTGCATCTTATCTTAAAATTCAAGATTTTCTAGATGTTGCATCTTATCTTAAAATTCAAGATTTTCTAAATGTTACATCTTATCCTGAAGTTTAAGATTTTCTAGATGTTGCATCTTATCTTAAAATTCAAGATTTTCTAGATGTTGCATCTTATCCTCAAGTTCAAGATTTTCTAGATGTTGCATCTTATGTTAAAATTCAAGATATTCTAAATGTTGAATCTTATCCTCAAGTTCAAGATTTTCTAGATGTTGCATCTTATCTTAAAATTCAAGGTTTTTCTAGATGTTGCATCTGATCTTAAAATTCAAGATTTTCTAGATGTTGCATCTTTTCTTTAGATGTTGCATCTTATCTTAAAATTCAAGATTTTCTAGATGTTGCATCTTTTCTTTAGATGTTGCATCTTTTCTTTAGATGTTGCATCTTATCTTAAAATTCAAGATTTTCTAGATATTGCATCTAATCTTTTGGTTGAAGATTTTCTTCATACTGCATCTTATTTTTAACTTCCAAAAACGCTAGATGTAGCAATTTATCTAAAAAAATAAATTTAATTTTTCTTGATATTACTGATCACCTAGATCTAAATCTATCAGCCTTTTAAATTCAAATTTATCCAAGTTTTACATTTTTGAAATAATGAAAAAATTTGGACCATGAAAAATCGATCAATAAAGTAAATCTCAAGACAATTTTGAATAAACTTATGAAAGACTAGTCAAGAGGAATGAATAAAAATCTGAATCAGCTGTCATATATGATGGAACCAAGTCTGAAATCTTGAAGCATCCAAAGTCACAACAAACAGTCTTTGGTTTCATATCATTGCCTTATCTAATGTCTGCCAAGGAAATAAATCTGAAATCAGTTTTCAAGCAACGTGTGTTCAGAAATAAGCCTGAACAAACATACAAAACAAAACACGTCCACCTTAATCAAAACTTGTGGATGGGATCTAGCTTGAGACAATTAAAGGATGAATTCTGATCACACTATTGAGAAAAATCACTAGAATTTGGATTCAATTCAGAAGGAATCATCATCACTATCCTCATCTGAATCTAACATTAAACCTAATAATAGTATAGATAATTCTTCATCTAATATATTTAAATTGTCTAATTCGTCTCGCACTTGTAGAAATTCCCACAAACTAGAATGATGCATGAAATCACGTTCCCCATTAGCATTTTCACGTCGTCGTGTTCTCCTTGGTTGAGGTTCAGCCTTCCGTCCATCAGGATAAGCATGTAAATAGAAACACTTCTCATTAAAGGGACATTCTCCTTTTCCTTGATCGAAATATCTGCATGGTTTTGAGCTGAAAGATTAGAAAATGAAAGTTATCAGCATGTCTGATGTCTTTAAAATATTTAAGTTTTTCACTTGGCTATTAATCTATAGTCTTGTGAGCATATTTGTTTTATCAGTTGATACAGCTCACTTTCAGTTTGTCTACAATTAGTTATGGTATATCATTCTGAAGGGTGCTATGGATAGCTTATCTTAAACTGGATCACTTGGTAAAACAAATAAATGAAGATGAAAATTTCCCTCCGAAAAAAACCTACTTTTCTCCCTCTTATAGGAGAGCAACATTAATTGTTTTTGATTCCAACTGTCAGGGATCTTTAACATGCACATGGAGCCTCAGTTTATTGTCCAATTACAACTTCCCCCTAAGAGCTGTATCAAGATCTGTAATAGCTTCACAAGAGTAAATATAATCCATTTGAATCAGAGCTTCTCTTACCTTAGTGCAGATTTATAACCTTCAATTAATTTGGCTTTATCTTCCTCGGCTTCAACCCAATACTGACTAGGTGCTACAAAATCTGACTGTACTCTACATTCTGGACAAGCCCTAAAATAAAATAAAAAGATTTAAAAAAAACTTATTTATGAAAATTGTCTTGCTCTTATTTGTGAAATCACCAAACTCTAGAGACGTGTGCTCCTTTACTTATCTGAAAGTTTAAACTTGAAGTATCCTGCCATTAATTTTAGAATGCTAAATCTATTTAAAGGGGTATTCCGCTTTTTTGTAAATAGTTTCATTATCTAAAACATCGTAAATTTTACCTGAAAATATTTCTAAAGTATATCTTTGGATCTTCTTGATCAAACTGAATTTGTTTTAAAAGGGTTTATTAAAACGGAGAGTACTAATTGTTAATAAAGCAGTTTGACCTAGTTTTGGTGTTGGGCTTTATAATGACTCAATATTGTTAGTTGAAACCTTTAGAATATGTAGGAGACATATTTCTCTACAATTGGGCGTTTATTTTGCTTAAATCCGTTTTTAGTTTTTTAACAGTTTCCAAAAAGTATAACAATATTAAAAACCTTATGTAATATTTTTAAATATTTTTAGCGTTAATTTAACGGCTGGATTTTTTATAGTTAAAACTTTCAGATACGTTAAAGGGCACATTTCTCTAGAATGGTGTATAGTTTTCACAAATTTGAGTAACAAAAATTTTCGTCCTACAAAAAAAGGGGAATGTCCCTTTAAAAGGTTCAGGTTACAGGGTTGAAGTTGGAAAACTTATGTACGCATTTTGGCAAAATTGTAGAGAAATATGTCTGCATCTTATTCTAACAGTTTCAACTAATAATATCGAGCCATTATGAGGCCAAACATCTCTTCATTTTTAATCACCCTTTTCAAAATAAATCCAGTTGATCAGGTAGATACATAGAAGTACATTCTAGAAATACTTTCATGTATAATTCAAAATGTTTTTAATAACAAAAATTTTGCATACTGCCCCTTTAACATTGTCAGACAACTTAAGATTGAAAATGCACATCAGTAAATATGTAAAATGGCATCACTCCAAGTTCAATTCCCAATATCTAGGAAATGCTTCTGTCCTGTCAAACCCCTACCTGATGATTTTATTTTCAAATTGTTTGGCACATCTCCATTTGCGGATGCAGTTCAGACAGAATATATGGTTACAGTTGGGTAGAATACCAAATCGTCTTTCACTGATGGGTTGTTTGTCTACTACTATATCCATACAAATACCACACGCCTTATCTTTACTTCTAGCTATAGCAAATGATAACTCCATATCTTCTTCATGTTGCTCTGTACACTCCTGCGTAAAAAATATTAACACATTGCCTCACTAAAGCCTGGCAAATCTGGCCCTACCAGTTCCTTAGACTTGATAAACCAATAAGATTTTGACACAGTAAGGGCCAGAAAATATGGTAGTTGAGCCAGATCTATTTTCAGATAGCTACTATTTGAGAATTTTCATCATGACAAAAGCAAAATATAGTACTTATAGTACCAATTAGATTGAATGTTATATTGTCAATCATAACAATGATGGCAAAGAACTAGAAGAGTCAGCCTCTTTGTCAAGATAAAAACACAGAATGTCAAGATAATGACAAAGATTCTGCAGATATTTAACCTTTGAGGAAAACAGCCTACCAAAAGATGTTGTTTTCGTTGCTCTTCGTCGGTAGGATGTAACATATTGAGACCACATAATTCACATTGGTTACCATGGAGATATGTACAGTTATCACCATACCAACACTCACCACCAGCAGCATAAGGACATAGTACATTACTATTATCTTCTAAAATCTCTATATCTTCTCCATCTTGACCATTTGATGTGGCTTTAGCATAGGATGACGGAACTGAAAATATACTTACTTATCTTTGATTTGAGAAATTGAAGTTTGATTGTCATTACTTTAATCATGTAATAAACAATCCTACAGCCATTACAGTATCATCAATATCAAATGTTGATTTTTATTGAAATGTTAGTGAACAAGACCGAGGATTATAGTTCTAAAAAGTGACATAGGTACCTGAATTTGTACCAAGAAATAATATCAAGCAAACACTTAGACAAATATTTCTCTTAAATACATAGAAATTCAGCTGCATTCTCCATAGAAATTCAGCTGCATTCTCCATAGAAACCAAAGCTGAAAACCACGTTTAATTTCATTTCAGATAGAACTGGTGAAATTCAGCTTTATCAGTTATTTTGCCACCAATAAGCAGTCCATACCTGATCCTTCATATTTTTCACCAGGGACAAATTCTTTGGCTTTAACCCATTCTTCAGGTGGTTTACCATGCGGTGAAATACAGTTATTAGCCTCCTTGACCTCTCCTCCTCTCTTTAATGATACTAGTTTACTCTTTCTCTTCTCACATTCTGATATAATAGATGGTTTCTGAATGCCCTCTAGTGTTTTGGTATGATTCTTTTCATTGGTTTTATTCTTATCTAGTTTCACATGATCAAATCTAAAATAGCAAAACCATAAGAAATCTTTACTAAACTAAGACCTCAAAGGCATTGTAAAGAGGTTTTCTGAATTTTTCTAAATCTGGAACACTGATAGCATCAATTTGCACCATCCCAATTTTCAATCTGACATTTGCAGTTTCTGCAATTTCACTAAAACTAAGTGCTTGATGATGTCACTAATTTATTTGATAAAGCACATTTTGCCATAAGTGATGTTATTAAAGAATATAAGATTATGAAAGCAACGGCTAGATGCTGATAATCATTGCAGTGTTGCTAAATGAATATGGAGTCACATGAAATTGACAAGACCCTGTCACATGCTGCTAAACTTGGATATAAAATCTGTAACCTGCAGACCTACTTATCAAAGAATGTACAGCTACTTACCTACAATTGGCCCCATAAGCACAGCAACCTTTTAGATAATATCTACAAATCATTGATGGTGCTGTATTATAATCGTGTGCAAACTTACACTGATCTCCTTGTTTGCAGGCCCCATGGAGAAAATACCTAGAAAATTGCATCAGATTAGTTATTCATTTCAAGACTACCATTACTGTACAGTATTGTAAGAAGAGCAGAGACGTCAATAGCTAGGCAAAATCTTGAAAATAGAAGAAGAAAAAATCTGTTAAACAGGTGCTCATTCGACTCATCTACATGTTAAAGCAATACACTCATCCTGTGGCTAATATTTGTGTTTAATAGTGACCATTGGTTAAATAAGTATGCATCCCACACTTTATCAAGTTTGAAAAAGGCGACAATAAAACTATAATCAGAATTTTTTTAAAAAGTGAGCAAGCCATGAATCCGTTCAGTTTGAGAAAAAAAGAGTCTGGGTAATCAACGCTAAAACAGGAAACAATCATCTTCCGGTGTATACAAACAAACTTTGCCAATGATGAATCTATGTTGAAAATTTATCAGTGGTGGAGTATTCATTCTAAATTATACGAGGCATTATTATTCCGTCTTGAACATATGACAATGTCGAGGTCAATTCAAGAGTGGAGGTCAAGGACGCAGGAAACTCCACTTGAAAGTTACTTCACCTTGTGATTACACCGGATTTCCCGGACTCACGATCTATAAGCGTTTTATAATTAATTACTTTATTTTGTGGATATATCAGATTATAGAGGGATTTTGATGAATAGTTAGGACACCAGGTAAGTCTGATGGATATATACTGTTATTGGCCAAATTTGAGCAAAATTAAAATCTTATGTTCATCCTAAGACGTATTATCCCTTTAACTGATCAAGAGAAAAGACATCTATAAAAATAGGAAAAGAAATTCCTAGAGATATTTTTGAAGGAATTATGTGATTTTCGTACATTTCTAGTAATTCTGAAGACTATTCATAAAAATATTCAAGACTCAAATCAACCCCCCAATCTGTCCCTTTAAACAAATGCTTTTAATTCGACCTAGTAATGTTAATGTACCGAGCACAGGCACCTGTTTCATTGAAACGATGGGTCTAAAAAATGTTAGTATCTTTATTGAACAATAGTTAGATTAGTATGAAGAGGAACATGTCTTGTGTGAAGGGAAAATATTCATTTAAGGTAGGGATTATGTATCTGTATGGTAAATGGTAGAAAATCGTCTGAAGAGGAGATGGTCGTGACGAGCGTTAGCCACCTTCTGTTATATATACAGTCGAGTAACCTAATTTCGTGGAAACCTATTATTCGTGGATTTCCGGAAAGGATTAATAATTTACATGAGCGACCTTGCGCGTCCTCCGCATTAGTTTGTTTTGATAAACATATTGGTTTTCTCTACAATATCAGCTAGTAGTATGAATCCAGTAGTTTCAAGCAAGGTAAAATGTATTAATGTATACTTTGACAAATACAAAATGGCGGATTTCACTTATTACCAAACGTCACCATTTTTTATTGGTCGAATTTCATTATAATCCCGAGCGTTAATCGGAATTCCAAGTGTCATCTGCTAGAATATAATCCAACGAATGAGGTCACGTGATCAATTAGCTGATTCCGTGTGAGCAGAAAATTTCTATGGAACACAAAGTGGACCATATTCTTATGTTGTTTCAGTGACTTTTAGCAATAAATCACGCTACTTATATTATTTTGTCAGTCACTATTTTTTTTTTAAATCGTGCCTCTTTGAAGGAATTGTCACTAGTTATAATGAATTGATATTAAAGATAAATACTAAGAGAAGTTAATTATATCACCCAGTATCCATACGTGTTTTTCTAGACTTATTTATAGATAAAACATTGTACACGAAAATAGGTGACGCATTCTGCCGCCGTTCCCGAGTTGGTTGCTCATGAAATATGGGTCAAAGTGAAGGATTCATTAAGAAAATCGAAATAAACCAATTTCTATTATTTTGTAGAATATCTGAGGAAACATCTAAGACAAATTTTTTTTTTCGCTTTTTTAACTTTGACGAAATTCGGTGTTGAATCCTTATATCCACGAAAATAGGTTACAACACTGTACTATTATAGAGAGAGTCGACTATTGATAGAAACAGATGCCTGTTGTGAGTGACAATGACATAACCACTCACTCACTGTAGACCCAACACTAGATTTAAAGTTTTGTTTATTGGCAATATAACATGATTATAGCATTTTCAGCGAATACGGTAGCTGTAAATCCATCTTATAACAATCCCAAAGTTTACCATACGTGTTTTCATTCCTGTTGTTCAATGCACGATGTTTACAATTTTTTTGTTGTTGTCTGCAAAGACAATCTATTTTTAGGCTAGTTCTCGACTAGGCAATCTAGTTTACCCCTTTTAGTCATTTGATTTACAATATAAAGTTTATAAAGAGTAATTCTGATGTTTTGAGTGTAAACTGTCGTGCTGATTATTCTATTCACATTCAGAACAGTGCAGAAATTCCATATTTTACCTGCATTGAACTGAAGAGGTCCAAGGAGAGGCTTCCGCCATGTTTAGATATAAGCCATTATTTCACAGACATGATATCATTTTAGTCTCGTATTCTATTTCAAATATATTACCTAAATTTGAAAAACACGCAACTCTTAAAATTTCTTTAAAATGCATTATGGGGCTTTATACTATGCGGGCATGTTTTATTTTAGACAAGTTTGTGATATGACATGTGTTTTAGTTTCGTAATGAAATCTGTTGCATTCGTATCTAACTGGAATATTGTGATCACAGGAAATTTGGGGGTCACTATCACTGATCTATATATTATTTATATAGATCACTGGCCACTGTACGGTGGGTAATGGCGTGCTCATAATAATAAGATTAAACATATTATATTATAACTTGTAAAAGGGTTTTGGTCATAATCACAAAATATACAAAAGAAACATATAACATAATATGACTGAATACAATCTCATAGGTAAAAGCTTATTTTAACAGTGGTATTTCTATATCGCTCTACAATTGCTGTATTGAGCACTATTTTACCAGTGGTATTTCTATATCGCTCTACAATTGATGTATTGGGCACTATTTTAACACTGGTATTTCTATATCACTGTACAATTGATGTATTGAGCACTATTTTAGCAGTAGTATTTCTATATCGCTCTACAATTTATGTATTGAGCACTATTTTAACAGTGGTATTTCTATATCGCTCTACAATTGATGTATTGAGCACTATTTTAACAGTGGTATTTCTATATCGCTCTACAATTGATGTATTGGGCACTATTTTAACACTGGTATTTCTATATCACTGTACAATTGATGTATTGAGCACTATTTTAGCAGTAGTATTTCTATATCGCTCTACAATTTATGTATTGAGCACTATTTTAACAGTAGTATTTCTATATCTCTCTACAATTGATGTATTGGGCACTATTTTGATAGTGATATTTTTATATCACTCTACAATGTATTGAGTACTATTTTAACAGTGGTATTTCTATATCACTCTACAATTGGTGTATAGAGCTCCATTTCAATAGTGATATTTCTATATCGCTCTTCCATTTATGTATTGAGCTCTATTTTAACAGTGGTATTTCTATATCACTCAATTTAGCACATAGAGATATAAAAAGAATAGATCTCTTCTATCTATATCGCTCTACAATTGATATATTAATCACTATCTTAACAATGGTATCTCTATATCGCTCTACAATTGATGAATTGAACACTTTTTCAACAGTAGTATTTCTATATCACTCAACAATTGACGTATTGAGCACTATCTTAACAGTGGTATTTCTATATCGCTCTACAATTGATGTATTGAGCGCTAGTTCAATAATGCTATTTCTACATCGCTCTTCCATTTATGTAGTGAGCACTATTTCAACATAGGTATCCTATATCGCTCTGCAATTGATGTATTGAGCTCTATTTTAACAGTGGTATTTCTCTATCACTCTACAATTGATGTATTGAATACTATTTTAACAGTGGTGTTTCTATATCACTCTACAATTGATGTATTGAGTACTATTTTAACAGTGGTATTTCTCTATCACTCTACAATTGATGTATTGAGCACTATTTTAACAGTGGTATTTCTATATCGCTCTACAATTGATGAATGGAGCTCTATTTCAATAGTGATATTTCTATATCACTCTTCCATTTATGTATTGAGCACTATTTTAACATACTACAATTGATGTATTGAGCTCTATTTTAACAGTGGTATTTCTATATCGCTCTACAATTGATGAATGGAGCTCTATTTCAATAGTGATATTTCTATATCACTCTTCCATTTATGTATTGAGCACTATTTTAACATACTACAATTAATGTATTGAGCTCTATTTTAACAGTGGTATTTCTATATCACTCCATTTAGCACATAGAGTTATAAAAAGAATAGATCTCCCCGCTCCGAAAAAAATTCTGACATTCGACCAATTCCATTACTTTAACAAAACACCATACACCATTGCCCCACTATATTACTTGGTCCTCCTGACACCAAGGTCTGGCTACGGGCCCGAATGCCATGGTTGCCATTGTTTTCGACTTTCGGGCGATAAAAGTTAACCGCTTTATTTGTAAATTTTATCCTTTTAGCATACCAGGGTAGTCCCGTAACTTTCCAACCAGCTTGAAGAAGCCGCATGAATTATAACCGTTCGCATCAATTAATAGGCCTCTCGATTACCTTTAGTCTTGATCCACCTGAAGTAGGATTTTAGAGTGGGAATTGGATTTCGAGAAAAGATATCTACCAAGTCGATGTCCAGCTATGATTTTTTTTAAGATATCAATAAAGCGACTCTTCCAGGATTTCAAAAGAATTAGCCGTTCACTCAAAACGAACAGTGAATATGCAGTCGTCGGGTATCTTTTTATGTTTCATGGAAATATCAATATGGAATAAAATATGAACCACACAAGAAAAAGAAGTTTATTCAAAAGCCACAAGCGATATACTCAATCAAAAGCCTTAGATAAATCAAGAAAGTTTACGTTTACGGAAGTTGTCCTCCCTACATGGTAGAAAAACATTTAGCGTCTAGCGTCATATCTTGACTCTATTTATACTGAACAAATTGACTGATTGAACATATTGAAATTAACCATGAAATATTCAAACAAAAGACTAGAAACATAAAATATATCATATTATTATATATTGGAAAAGTAAAATTACAACGGTTGCATTCTTGAAGTTATAGGATATTAGTCCGAAAGATTTGCCTATATTCCATCCTCTGATAGCTGTTTGACAGTTGTCGGTTTGACATATAGCTATAAGAGTCTGGTATAGAGACAGATGTTTCGGTCTTCGGATATTGAAAAAAGAATTTGATATAATAGTCTTCTGGTTAAGATTTCATTTCGGCTAATAATGAGAATATACGACTATAATCCTATAATTTGATACACTGGTATTGTTGATATGCTTAATAGGTTCAAGTTCATTGTTATTCCCAAGAATTACTTTTAAGAATGAAAATCTGACTTAGGTAATGATATGAAATTATAATTTCCGTCACTTCGTTATATTCAAGCAGTTCGTTTTAATCTTAAAATGACAGCTTGTTTTTTAAGCTAAAGCTAATCAGTAATTGTGATCTCAGCTAAAGTCATAATTTTAGCCTTTAAATCCATGTGTATCCAGAATTATCCGCTTTTGAAAGTTAAATTGACGACTCATCTTTTCGTGAAACTACGCCAAAATGTATAGAAAAAGAAAGTGAAATTTTTATATGCGGTAGATTATTTGAAGAGATTGTTGGATTTTTATACATTTCTAGTACTTCTGAATAATAGACAATTTACATATATTCAAGACCTAATCAACCACTGACGATGACGAATCTTGACTTTTGAAGTATATATAAGGAATTTATACTACTAGTGTTTCCCATGTATTATACACCCTTAATCGAACTTTATATACAGCCAGATGAGATTCTGCATCTATTGGAAAGAACCATCTGGGTTGACTTTCACGATGCGATTTTCTTTTCTGGCTACTTCAGCAGCAAATACCAACAAATGACTTTTTAACGTCTGCTCTGCTCCTTTGTGTATATCTCCCTTCATTCCACCCTGGAAAGAAATCATGAAGAAGTTGGGTGAACCCGATACGAAACTACGTATTTCGGTATACATGCATCCATCCAATTAATGTAATATTTCATAGTCCCAATCTCGCCTTTTTGTAAGTGTCACGGATGTAAACTCCCAAACAATGACAACTGGATAAGAAAATTTGGTTTCTTTTTCAGTATTATCTGAATATAAGGCCAAAGTAAGCCGACAGGTACAAATATCTATCGAAATGGAGGGCAGAGGGGGAGGGGCTACCATTACCATGAATAGCGCTTACCAGTAGAGTGTTGACGAAATGTTCCATTAGATAAAAGTCAGCTCCACCATGTCCAGATAATACCTTAGCATCACTTACTGCCCTGTGTCGTGCTGTAAAAATGTCGATGAATCATCTATAAAATCTTAAAGATTCTCCCACAATCAACCAAATTCAATACGTGAATCAGCGTCTGAAAAATCGACGTTCCCAAAGCTATAATTGTATAAACTCAAAGTGAAGTTGATGAATCAAAGCATAAACTTACATGTTTGTCCAGTAAGAAAATCAAAGACGTGGATTTCATTCGATTTGGCATCATCAAACTTTAATTCACCCTACAAATATACAAAATGCGATATATACTCGATGTACATGGAACGATCCTCACCAAACAAACCATTTAAATGTCGTACTATATGAATGCCTAGCATAGCCAAATCTTTCAGTAAAAATAGTAAATTAATGTAAAAAGTAATGAGACCTTATATTACGCAATAAATAGCGTATGAGTAATGAAGACCTTATATTGAGTAAACAAGGAGTTGATGAGTAATGAGGACCTTATTGAGTATTTGAGGACCTTATTACGCAACGAACACCTTATTGAGTAATAAAGGCCACGTAATGAACACCTTATTGAGTAATAAAGACCTTATTGAGTAATAAAGACCTTATTGAGTAATAAAGACCATGTAATGAAGACCTTGGTGAGTAATAACGACCATGTAATGAAGACCTTGTTGAGTAATAAAGACCCTGTTGAGTAATGAAAAGAAAAACTTATTGAGTAATGAGGACCCCATTGAGTAATAAAGACCATATTACGTAAAGAAGACGTTATTGAGTAATGAGGACCGTATTGAATATAGAAATAAAGAAATATAGTAATGAAGACCTTATTGGGTAATGGAGAACTTTTTAAGTAATGAGGACCTTATTGGGTAACTGGGACCTCACTTAGTAGTGAGGACCTTATTGAGTAATGAAGACCTTATAAAGAGAAAATGTTAAATGAATACCTTGGTTCCATAAATGTTGGTTGCTCTGGCACATATACCTTTAGTAAAAGCTATCATAGTCAAGGTAGCCGTAGCACCGCCTGTAAACTGAAAATTGACAACCTGAAAACATAAAACCCAGATAATAATGTCTTGAATAATTTGCGAAACGGCCGTTTTGATAATGATATTTTGCTGAATGATCTAACACGATGTCATAATATACAACATAATCTCTGTATAATCCGATAAATTCATAAATTAAAGTGGCCAAGTTTGAGAATTGGATATGGGTTCATTAAACGAGGTAAATCCTATAAAGATAAATCTCACAAGATCATTGATGGTAAGAAAAGTACCTTGCAGAACAAGTTCGAAGTGGAAGAAAGAAAGAAACAACTATATTTTACAAGGATAATAACTCAGGTTCACAGTTAAGGATCCTTTCTACCAGCTGGTCCTTGGCCAAACGTCTTGGCATTGATCTTTCCTGATTGATCTTGATCCGTACCCATTTACAGCTGGGTTGACTGGAATTGTGACTGAAGATGACTTGTCCAAGGTCATCGGACTATCACACGTCGATCGACCAACAACCAAGCAGATAGCTTCATATAAAGAACCAACGCTCTAACCGACTGTGCTATAGAACCTCACAAGCATACAGCTTTGTATTTCTAATCAGATTTTGTCACGGGTGAATATAAACTGGGTCCCTGTTGTGTTTGTTCGCTTATCGCTACACTAACTCTTTAGAGCTTCAGATAGAATGGCGGACCAGTTTAGGGTGAATACTAATTGACTCCAAAAAGGAGGTAGAATCATGAAACGCACCTGTTGTGACATGACGTCATTATCATTCTGGTAAACACATTTCCCGTATGGTCCTGTTTTTAAGGCTTTCGTCAAATTTTCTATATCTGGTATATCCGATACGACATTTACAGGCCATCCTGTATGACCCTGAAAAATAAATTAACTTCTGACAAAATTTTTGCCATGGACAATTTGAAGTGAATTAAAATTTATTGATAGCAATTTTAACCATGTACGGCGATTGATTCAACGATTTTAAGCTTAAATTATAACCAAATCTTGTTAAATAAAACGAAACGAAATGTGTTGAAAGCTAAACCAATTCTTTCCACAGAAAACTTCCATTCTGCAAAGACACAATATTTCGTATGACCTAAACTTGATCCAACAAGCGGTAATCTTCTCACTAAGTTTGATTGGTTTAGAAATCGATTTTCGACTAACTAAAGTCGTTGAAATAACATATTGCGCGAAAACTTCTGTACATGTTTCAAACTGTATTTGATAAATCAAACTGAACAGAATAACAATACTTACACTTTTAACCATATCTAGATAAATGCGTTTAGCAGAATAAGCACAGTTATTCTCGACATGAGCTGGACAATCCATGCAGCGTTCAGCAGCATCTTTAGGCTTGAAAATGTAATCGAAAATGTAAAACCCTTAAGAATTGTTCATATACAGAATTGGGCTAATAAAGCCGGACATGTAAGTTCATAGTAAGGAGAGGGTCATTTTGCAACTACACTTTTTGCATATTGCAAACGTTTTGGGAATCTTTAACATACACAGAAACGACTAATTATCCTACAACATATCTGCCCATCCTGAACACTCCTGGCATGCACGAGAGGATTATACTGGACTTTTCAACGTTCTCAGAAAAAAAACTAATACATACGCGGTAATTTATATATGCTTTCAGATCTTACTTTCACAATGAATACATGGATCAGCTGGAGAGCTTTCGAAGTACGATGTCTGGATCGCTAAACGTTACATTATCCGGGCTGTTCTCACCTTTCATACAATCCACAAGCCTACACCTACCTTATTCTCCCTGGTGAAGTGAGAAAGGTGTCCAAAGGAAGACACATTTTCGCATTTTAGATCACCCATCCAATAGTAAATTAAATCAATGTCGTGGCAGCATTTGGCTAATAAAGAACAAGAACTGTCGGCTTCGTTATGCCAGTTACCTCGAACAAACGAATGTGCAAAATGCCAAAAACCAATCTGAAATGAAAAACATTTATATAACGTATACAACATAGCAATATGACTTACATGCAACGTAACAATGACTTACATACAACATTTCAATATGGTTTACATACAACACTTCAATATGACTTACATACAACATTCCAATATGACTATGGCAATATGACTTACATACAACATTTCATTATGACTTACATACAACATTTCAATATGACTTACATACAACATTTCAATATGACTTACATACAACATGGCAATATGACCTACATACAACATTTCAATATTACTTACATACAACATTACAATATTACTTACATACAACATTTCAATATTACTTACATACAACATTACAATATTACTTACATACATTACAATATTACTTACATACAACATTTCAATATGACTTACATACAACATGGCAATATGACCTACATTGACAATGACATTACAATATGACCTACATTGACATTACAATATGACCTACATTGACATTACAATATGACCTACATTGGCATTACAATATGACCTACATTGACATTTCAACATGACCTACATTGACATTACAATATGACCTCAGTGACATTTCAACATGACCTACATTGACATTACAATATGACCTCAGTGACATTTCAACATGACCTACATTGACATTACAATATGACCTACATTGACATTACAACATGACCTAGATTGACATTACAATATGACCTACATTGACATTACAGCATGGCCTACATTGACATTAAAATATGACCTACATTGACATTTCAACATGACCTACATTGACATTTCAACATGACCTACCTTGACTTTACAATAAAACCTACATTGACATTACAACATGACCTGCATTGACATTACAGCATAGCCTAAATTAAAATTACAATATGACCTACATTGACATTAGAGCATGGCCTACATTGACATTACAATACGACCTACATTGACATTTCAACATGATCTACATTGACATAGATATTACAATATCAACTATATTGACATTTCAATATGACCTACACTGACATTATAGCATAGCCTACATTGACATTATAGCATGGCCTACATTGACATTACAACATGACCTACATTGACATTGACATTACAATATGACCTACATTGACATTGACATTACAATATGACCTACATTGACATTACAACATGACCTACATTGACATTACAATATGACCTACATTTACATTTCAACATGACCTACATTGACATTGCAATATGAACTACATTGACATTACAACATGACCTACATTGACATTACAATATGACCTACATTGACATTTCATCATGACCTACATTGACATTGACATTACAATATGATCTACATTGACATTACAACATGACCTACGCGCAACATATTAATGTTCCATACATATATTATAATATGACCTACGTGCCACATTCTACATTATGACAGGCATACATTATACTGAAAGTGGAAATAACTCACAACTCACAAGCAAATGTTCATTCCCAGAAAATGAATCTAAAACTCTGTGATATCGAAGCTAATACTTACCGGTTCAGTATGCTGAATATTGACAATTTCCCCGAGTGCACCACTGTCTATTATTTCTTTTATTTTGAGGGACCACATGATGTAACGTAATACATGACCAACAACCAGCAATACATCGTTTTCTTTCACAGTTTTGACTATTTCTATACAGTCTTCTGCTGTAACCTACAGCGTATAAAACAGATACACTTACACAAACAATTGAAAACATGCCGAAAACTGTGATCAAGATGGTCACAACCAATGTTCCCCCTAGCCTGACCGTTCCTCGGGCGTGGTATACGGATTTTCGCATAATTATATTATGATATCGACAAAATGCTGAACCATTATTGAGTCTATCAAGACATTGAAAATGTCCCTGTCTTCCTTTAGCAATAATTAACATATACAACTTACAGCCATGGGTTTCTCCAATAAGATATGGTAACCTTTCTTCGCGAAAGCAACCGCCGGTTCCTACAATTAGAACTAAACAGATTATATGAAATATACGGCCGTTTGTGTGTCCCAATTTTTAAAAAGAAACATCAAACATTAAAATCTACATTTGAATAAACATGTGACGTTATATGTGTTATCTGTGTAAAACTTTAGAAATTACCGAACAAAATTGCTTAATTTTGCATGTGCTATTCAGATTAATAAATCTTACCTTATGCAGCTGATCGGTGGTCGTTATAATCACGCAATCAGCAAACTTTTCTAACTCAATAACTTCTTTCCAGTCTAAAACAAATGGTCATACATAGACAGAAAACTTTTGTAAGAGGTTGTGTTCATATATTGTTTCGGATCAGGGGGCAAGGAGGGGGGGGGGGGGGGGGAAAATTGGTGCAATGCATCCCGAAAAAATGAATTGTCCCTCTGAAAAAGCCCTGACAACCGACCACTTCCATTACCGCAATTAAACACCATACACTATTGCCTCTTACTTATATGTACCATCACAAATTCGAATTTGAGCGTTTTCCGTATAGCCCCAATGCCCACAACACGAAATGATCAACGTTTCAATTAACGGTTGTTTATATTATATTATTGTTTTTATTTCTTATAAAAATCGTAAATATATACCTTTAAAAACATATTTATCAGCGATATTGTGCTTCGTTTTTAGTAAATTGGCATGGAATTCTCTGGGGTCTGCTACGGCAACGATCTGGGAAAGAAATAACAACATTTATTCCGAATAATCTTGTTAACATTAGTAGGATTATAAAGAACCCAGATCGTCAGTTTCCAATTACTGGACAGATGTTTAAGAACACTAGGGACAATTTTTCTACTTTAAAGCATTTTTAGAACACGATTCCACCATTGTAGGCCTAGTCTTATGCACTTTTTAGGCCCACTGACGCCCGACCTCATCGGCGTCCACACTAGGGAGGGGGGATCACTCACTTTGATTTTGTCAGGGAAATGTTCAGCATATCCTGCATAGGTTTTTCCTCTCTGTCCTGCACCTATAACGATGGCTGTAAGAGGTTTGTTCTTTGATACCGTATTTGACATAGTTGCCGTGATAGTTCAGTCAGATCTGCAATTTTAAAAAGAAACGGCAATTTCAAGAGACATGCATTTAGACTGATGAAGGGCTAACTGATTCATTTCGATAGAAAAAATATGTTGCTTAATTCCACATTCAATCCCCGTATATGTCTACGTCACAAATAAGAGCTTCTCATTGGTCGATGCATTTTATCGTGTTGACTATGTCAGACTGACGTCAGTTACCCGGGAAAATATTTAAGACGAGCAATTTGATTGGATGATCTAATCACATGTAGGCCTCGCTGTGTCTGTTGTTAGTTTGACATTTTTTTCTACAGTTTTAAGAATAAGAGTAATAATACGTTATTCCTTGTAATCAGGTAGGTCCAATAATGATTTTAAATTATTTCAGTCTTGGATAGTGATAGAATCTAATCCTCATGCCTTTGAAGAATAAATAAGCTACCACAATAATAAGGCGAATTCTCGTGGGTCGATGTCATTTACTGTTGTCTGAAATATTTCTTTGTCTTTCCTTAATGAAATCGACGTTGTGCTATGTGACTGACAGAATAGTTCCATTTTATAAGTCACTTAATTGTCATCAGTGGAGGTGCGAGCCTCTCGAGACTGGGGGTACAAATAAAGTGCAGACTGGCTTGATGGGGGAACTGTCGAGCAGCAGATCCGAGGAGTCTCCATCAAGAAAATTTTGGAAAAATAGAATTAACATATATACTGGGGCAAAAATATATTAAAATTTTATTTTAAAATTTGTTAGAAATAAAGTGGGGGTACAATAATTGGGGGTAGGCTACAAACCATTGTTCAAGGGGGGTGGGGCAGTTTGCTTCCAACATCGTCACCAGTGGCAAACTCAATACTATTGTCTGTCAGGAGAAAATTTCTTCCGTTATTTGGTTATTGAATACCATATGATGAGATTTGGAGAAGCGACGTGAGAAGAAATAAAGATGATATTCGACCGAACAAAATCGTATTCGGAAATCTTATGTGTTTGCTCCGTTCGGTTGCTTACGAGGACTACTAGTCTGAAACAGCTAAGGAGACTAGAATAATCATAGCCATATTTTATTGTAGGCCTACAAAATTGCGTATTCGAGGCAATTTCATTGAAAATGTAAACAATTGTCTTTTCGTGGATTAATCGGACGTGGGTTTATTATCAATAGGCATATATCAAAATTATTTCGTGAATAGGGTCGATATTAGAGTGCAATTACGCCGGTGCAGAGTATTTATATTGGCTGTCGGTTCTATCCAAACCGGTGTTTTGTATGCTTACAATTTTGGTGTGATAATGCATTTGATAACAACGATTGATTTGGGTATCTGGATGACTTTTTGCCAACAATTCAATTTGTCAAGAATTTTTTGGAACATTTTCCTTGCGTATATAACATACAACGGTAAGGGGTACGAGAACACAACGGTTGGAATCCAATTCTTACAGGCCTTGTTTCAACATTGTTGGGTTTTGACTTGGTCTTGAATATATGTAGTCTTCAGAAGTACTACAACTGTAAATCTACTTCAAACTAGACATTAGGCTCTCTTTTCTATATTTTTCGTTTTTTTCTACAAATGACGTATCAATAAAAGACGAGTCCTCGTTGTAACTTTCAAACGCGGATAACTTTGTACTTGGATTTGAAGGCTCAACTTCGACGGTGAACACAATTACTGATTTAGCTAAAGACTGAAATACGATTGTTGAAACAGATGGTGTGTGTGTCCTATTTAAAACATATCAAATGTACCAGTTCTGCCATTCTATTATGTGCTGCATAAACTTTGGTTCTATTGATTAAAAAAAGGAATATAGCCTAATATACTTTGTTATCTTATTATACGTATCTAACTCATTTCTACGTGACTAAGACATTTAGGGAAAGAAATTTGGAAACTTGATCTGTTCGAAATATTTCCAGCTACCTTTAATTCAGTTTGTCAGTTCAAGAAGTAATCGGTTGTCCCTACCCCATCTCTGGTTACCTAGATTGCTGTAAGTTATTTCAGCGACTATTGGGCATTTGTAAGAAAAAACTACTATATACATCACAGAACATTCTCTGGGGTTGCAAAGCCAATAACTTGCTGGGTTCCATGATACACTGGAGTTTTCAAGTATTATTAACATTAAAATAAAAAGTTATCATATGGGGTAGTCTCAATAACCAGGCGTTAAATTGTGTTAGGGCAAGTGTCAGTGTTCAACTCTTTCTGAAAACAATAATTAACGGTTCAGTCTGTAAATCCCCATTCAAGAGGTAATCCGGTTACTCGCTAAAACAATACTAATTAAGGTTTAATGAACAAACTTTATTTCTAACTGAGAGATTTGTTTGTTTTTGTTTTTATTTTCCCGCTTCCGGTGCAGTCTCTTTTTCGGAGACCAATTAGAATTGTCGTTGCCGACCACGTGACCACGCCTTCTCGCAACCTGTCCGTGAACCTCGTGCAAACTGAGCAGAATCCACCCTGATTTCGGCGAAGAATTCCTGCAATATTATTCATCAAAATGGCAGATGCAAAGTCTACTTTGACGCGAGATGGAACGATGCAAGTGACTGCAAAGGTATGAGTATTTTTTATTGTCGTAGATTTGTAAAATTCAATGTAAACATGAAGCAAAAGTAATTCTATGACGCCATTTGTTTTTCTATGAGAAAATTTAGTAGTGACCTAATTATGCGAATATTTCCATTGTTATCCCCCATTCGAGTAAAAATCGTTCGTCCGTGTTGGTCCTTAGTTCTTAAACAAACATTGTAATGACAAATATGCAACAAATAAGATGTATAAATACCCGTAAATATGTTTTGAAATATGTGTTGTTTTCTTCCAAGATGGCGACCAGAAATTGAAAGGTCAGAGAGCCGGTCAAACTTAATGCTTAACGGATCCCGGCAACACATTGAATTTGTCATGCTTCAATTTTGTCATCCACGTGACAGTATTTTCTAATCGAATTTTCTCCCGCGAAAAATGCGCAGTACAAAAAGCGTACTACGCGAATTTAAGCCATGAGTGATGACAACCATAATCCCAGGTTATCCTTTGTTCAGTGCAAACAAGTCAGGAGCACATCCTAACAAAGGGGAACTGTCTGCAATCATTTGACCCAATTTTATGTGTGAAGTTGGGTCTTACCTTGACAAATGGGTTCTTGGCTAATGAAGCTTGGTTTCTTACCCTTTTCTGTGATATTTTTGTTAGCATTGTAATCTAACTAGAAGTACCACAGTACCATTAATGACATCGTTAACCAATAAAATCTTGTTCTGTAGGAATTATTTCTTCATAATGTTGTCGAATTGTGGAATGGCAAACTAAAAAATTAAGCAATTTGAGCGCATCTTTGGGTTCCATATCCCAGAATTCTTATTTTTATCAAACAACGACAAGCTTTGATTGGTTGTGAATAGCGTCATTGGAAGTGAACTTTGGTACTTGTAGACTGGTAAGGTTACAATGGAAAACAAAAATACCAGAAGTTATCAATTAATCTTATTTAATTATCTCCACTAAAAACAAGTTAATCATCATTGTCACTATTGATGTACGAAATATGAATTATCTCACCTCAGGATCAGGTTGCTTAATTGTATGTAATAAGTTCAAATTTAACTACTGTCGGCAATTATTTTCCATTGTTTTAGTCGAAGTTTTCACGGCTTGAACAAATGCAGGAATCACATAAAAAATTTAACAATACCCTGTATCAAGTGTCATTGGTAAAGCAAAAAGAAAAGTCAAATTCCTAAGTCCTTGGAATATTTCGAAAAAAAGTTATCTGCAATATCCAAAGTTGCGATTTGTTAATGTTAATTTCACATTGCTCATGCAACTTCTTCAAAGGATGAACTTCTCTTGCTATCACTTCCATTTCTCTTGTGTTCAGAGAATCAGAATGTTTATCTCTATTGTAGGAGGGCATTGAACTTTTGAAGTCCGAAGGGGCTACCAAATTGTTGAAAGCACAAGGTTTGATATCAGATGCTGGTGATTCCAGTTCTAAACCAAGCTTAGAAAGAGATGGTACTATGGTTGTTACTGCTAAGGTAATGAGTGAATTTTGTTTGAATATTACTGATGTGGGCGTGTTATTGCTAATGTAATGTAATTTGTTAAGTTTGAGATATTATCATGCAATTGGTATGGTTAATCTAAAGAGAAGTGTGCACCACTTAACTATACATTTCGTAAGAAAAAGCGAGACAGGAATTGTTCTATTTCTATGAAGCAGGCACACGCTCTCCCTTTGCAACAAGGAAAGTCATATTTCTAATTATTTAAATTTTAGGAAGGTGAAGCTGTTTTAGACAGTATGGGTGGAGCACCAGATCCAGATGCAGCTACTCGATCACAACAAAAAGAATTGGAAGCACTTAAGAATGAAGTGGCAGCTGAACCACCAGTAAAGAAGCCTAAGCTGCCTAAGGATGGCACTATGGTGGCAACTGCTAAGGTATTTCTATTTGTCATTTTCATGTGTTACCTTGAGCGTGATCAGTCTTTTGTAATTCTTGTCGAATGATCATAAAAAAGATGAAATTTACCTGCTCCTCCCTTTTCGAGACTAAAAATTAGGATCTTTGCCCATATTCGATTTATGGGACTTATGGTATAACTATTTTAATATAAAGTTATAATTCATTGATTTCAGGAAGGAAAAGCCTTGGTTGGATCTGAAAAATTAGGTGATACTAGACAGGAAACCAAGAAAAAGGCAGATAAACCACAACCGAAACGTGATAGTACCATCGCTAAAGCTGTTCAGGAAGGTAAGATCATGGAATAATTATTTTTGATGAGTGTCACATTTAAACTCATATGGCAGGTGAATATTCTTGTTGCTTTAGACTAATCATGGAGAGAGGATAACCTTTATTTATTTTTTTTTTGCAATGTTTTGACCCCATCTGTTTATTATGCTTGATCTACAATTGATGATAATGTTGGACTAGTTGTCTGTTGCATTTTTATTTTGATACATCTCCCAAATTCTATTTTAAGACATGTTTCTTTACGTCATTATTTAATACTCCATTGTGATCTAATTTCAAGCTACCATAGCAAACAATCCAGCATCATTACCACCAATCAAAATCATTTTACTAGCGAGTATAGGCAGTCTAATTACTCATTCGATTTCCCTATTCGACAATTCTGTTGATATTTATACCCAGTTGATCAGTGATTTCTTGTAATTGAAAAATTTCATTATTTTTTCCATTTTTTTGCATGGTGACTATTTTTTTTCTGATACAAGCATTGCTATAGCAGATCTCCTAGCTTTATTATAGAAAATGCTTATTTGCACTTGGTGGCTAAATTAGGCCAAGAAATAATAGTCCGGCTTCCAGTTTCCCGACCGACTCTATAAGAATGTTGCTGACCTTAATCTTTTTTATAACAAAACTTGAAAGGTGTGCGATCTGTGATATCCCCCCGATCTTTTGTTAACATTTGGCACTGCATGATGATATTAAACCTATTTATTTTAATTCCCATGACCTATCTGCACCAATAAACCCTTTTTTTGCCTGAGTATATATTTCTACTTAGTATCAACAAGAACCTCAGTCGTTTAAATAGCTGAGCAAAGAGCACTATACTATACTGTCATTTATGAAGTTCAAAATATTTTAGAAATTGTCTCCCTTGATTGTTTTTAATTTTCATTGCCATTTTCTTTTATTACAGCTAAAGTGTTGTTTCCTGACACAGAAATTAATGTGAATGAAGGTAGACGTACAAGATCAGGCAATAAACCCACACCTGCCCCTGCTAAAACCCCAGTGAAAAGAGCTGGAACAATGCAGAAGACTGCCAAAGAGGGTAGAGCATTTTTGAAGAGGAAATCGGAAGAGAACAAAGAAGCAGAAGATGGAGAAAAGGATGATAAGTCGGCATAAGCATCATTTAACATCAAACATTTGTTTTATAAAGAAATGATCATAATAATTATCAAACAGTTCATGATCATCCTTCAAACTATTGGAATACATTACAGACTTCATTGAAAACGGCTTGTTTGTATTCTAACAGTATCTCATTTTGTGTCGTTTGAATGTTTTTAATTTTAATATTCATGAGGATGAATTAAAATTCATATTTGAGACTTCCTCATCTGGTTTGTTAATGTTAGTTCAGATTTATATTTAAAGGACTCATTTTTATCAATATATCAATAATTTTTATGTATAAGACCATGGTGTTTTTTTCATTTGTCATTTAACTGTTTATTAGAGAAAGTAATGTTATTTATAGTTTGTACAGGCAGCTTTATTAATACTTCATGTTTAGGCAGAGTTTTTTTTAAAATAATCTCTAAATAGTTTTACCATTTTATTGTTGGGAATAAAGACATAGCTCATTTTTAGTGAGTTAATGATCATTGTTAAAGTATTTACTGTCTATTGAAGAAATTGAAACATTTCGATCCAGTAAACATTTTAAAACCAGTCAATGTCTAATACCCAAAGCTTGGAATTTTAAGTGTTTATTTAATCAAATAGAGTTGAATTTCTTGGGATGGGCTTGCCCCTCTCAGTGTTAAGAATATTAACAGAAAAATGTTTAACATGTTTTCTATCATGAAATTGAACAAATCTGCCATTCTGTGTTCTGTTTTGTCTTTGTCACCGATATTTTGAGTTTTATTCCCATTTTCACATTCATTGAGAATATATTTGTAGATAAATTAAGAATGTATTTATTTCATCTCAAGTTTTCCCTTTTAAAATTTTTCATTTTAGAACCATGTTGTCTATTTATATAAGCCATGTATCAGATTCAATTCAGGTAACTTGAACATAGAAGTAGAAGTTAATTTGTGAATATAGCTTGAAACATAAATTACACCAACTCTTTGTCAGGACGCAAATTAGCTGATATGGTTTTTGTAATTAAAAATTGGAAAGTGATATAAACTTGTTTAAAATTGCGATATTTGAATCAAAACCCAACTCTTGCAAATATAAATTTGTATACTTAATTAAAGGGATTGTAAATACGTTTTTAAAATTTCATGAGTATCGAGGACACTTACCATCAGTTTTCACTTTGGTTCCTGCAATCGCAATTAGTGACATTATCAAGCACTTATTTTTTGTGGAATAAAACAACCAGTGCAATCAGTGTATCCCTGATACACATAAAAAATGTAGAAAACCTCTTTACAATCACTTTAGTATTAAAATTTTTTAGCTGTGATTATCCATAAACTTTTCCATGAATGAAAGGAAAATAATTTGTTTTCTAAAACATGAAACATTTCTAAATGGAAGAGTTTATCAATTTTATAATTTCTATATTTTGTAACCAATTTATTCCCCATTTTTTTTTAAACTAGTTGGATTCATTTATAGTTTGATGTCATTTTTTTGTACATCCTAAAAACAATTAAGTATATAATTTATGTGGCAAACAATCCAGTTGAGATAGGTTTTAGATGTTCTGTTGCATTTAATTTTGGTCAATTCAGAATAATTAACAGATTTATCTAGAACTGTGTTTCAATAAGATTAGTTTGAACATATTTGTAACACTTATTGAAATATATCTTGGATGGTAAGATTACTAAAAAGTGAATCAGCAAACAGACTGACTTTGAAAAAGCTTGAGGAAACAGAACTTAGTGATACTTCGTCTTAGAAGTGACATAAAATTTAAGTTCTCAAGAATGGTCAATATGAGTATATGTTCATCAGTGAACTTACCTGGTGTCATAGAGTAAAATAGAATCCCTGGAAAATTCATAAAACTAAGTAATTGTTGAAAAATTACGCCTAATCTTAATATTAAGCGTTTTTCAATAGTTAATTGCATATTTATGGATAATTCCTAATTTTTTTTTTGATTTATTGGATTACATAAGGATCCTGTTATGTTATTTATGACACCAGGTATATCTACTGATGAATATATTATGCTCTTATTGGCCATGTATGAAATTCTTAATTTTATCTTCATTCTAAGACCATAGTACTTGAAGGCACGTTGGCGAGTCACATTGTCCCTACAGTTTCCAAGAGAAATGTTGGTTTATGGTTCTAGTAAGAGCAGATAAATGGTGACTTAATTGTTAAAATGTAAATTTGATTTTGAGTTGGATTTTTATCAAGTTAACCATTTCCATTCTTAATAGAACACTGATTCTGTTTTATTTTAAGATTTGTTGTAATTGTATAACTCTTGTAGAATGAATGTTTTGGAGAGTAAACTTGCGATAATAAAACAGATTCTTTCACTTTGGAAACTTTGGTTATTTCAACAGTGTCAATTGTTTATGAAGTATTAACAAAAAACCCAACGCTTGGAGATGCTCACCGTTTTCTTTTCCTGTTCAAACTTCGAATGGCCTAACTACATCTGAGTTTGAGCTGGATAATAGCCCATAGTCTTTGTAAATGGTATCTTAGACACTATTTGAACATAAATAACAACATCTAAAAGGGATTTTATGGAACAGCTGGTAGCATCTTTGCTAGTCTGGGTAAGAAATAACAACTAGTAGCCTAACATCTAGACTAGTGTCGAAAAAAAATTACAACTTACAGCATTTTAGTTATTTTGAAGTGTGGATAAAGATATAACAACTTATAGCATCTAGGTTATTGTGGATATGAAATAACAACTTATAGCATCTAGGTTATTGTGGATATGAAATAACAACTTATAGCATCTAGGTTATTGTGGATCATGACATAGTAACTTGGAGCATCTAGGTTATTGTGGATATGAAATAACAACTTATAGCATCTAGGTTATTGTGGATATGAAATAACAACTTATAGCATCTAGGTTATTGTGGATATGAAATAACAACTTATAGCATCTAGGTTATTGTGGATCATGACATAGTAACTTGGAGCATCTAGGTTATTGTGGATATGAAATAACAACTTACAGCATCTAGGTTATTGTGGATATGAAATAACAACTTATAGCATCTAGGTTATTGTGGATCATGACCAATAACTTAAAGCATCTACTAGGTTATTGTGGATATGAAATAACAACTTAAAGCATCTGGGTTAGTTAGGACATGAAATAACAAATAGTTTCATCCAGGCCAGTGTGGATATGATACAAAAACTAGAAGCATTCAAGCTAGTGTGGATAAGAAATGACAACTAGTAACACCCAGACAATTGTGGATAAGAAATGGTAACTAGTAGCATCCAGATAAGTATGGATAAGAAATGACAACTAGTAACATCCAGACAAGTATGGATAAGAAATGATAACTAGTAGCATCCAGACAAGTATGGATAAGAAATGACAACTAGTAACATCCAGACAAGTATGGATAAGAAAAAAACAACTAGTAACATCAAGACAAGTGTGGATAAGAAAAAAACAACTAGTGGCGTGTAGATTACGGTGGATAAGAAAAAAACTGCAGCATGTAGACTAGTGTGGATATGGAAAAAAAACTACAGTATCCAGAGACTAGTGTAGATACAAATTAATAACTAGTAACATCTCCCTAATGTGGATAAGAAATGACAACTAGTAATATCTAGAATAAGTGTGGATAAGAAATAACAACTAGTAACGTCTATATTAGTGTGGATAAGAAATAACAACTAGTAACATCTCACCAGTGTGGATAAGAAATAACAACTAGTAACATCTAGATTGGTGTGGATAAGAAATAACAAAAAGTAACATCTCACCAGTGTGGATAAGAAATGACAACTAGTAATATTTAGATAAGTTTGGATAAGAAATAACAACAAGTAACATCTCACCAGTGTGAATAAGAAATAACAAATAGTAACATCTCAACAGTGTGGATAAGAAATAACAAATAGTAACATCTCAACAGTGTGGATAAGAAATAACAAATAGTAACATCTCAACAGTGTGGATAAGAAATAACAACTAGTTGCATCTAGACTAGTGTGAATAAGAAAACAAATTACAACTTCTAGACTAGTGTGGATAAGGAATGACAACTAGTAGCATCTAGACTATGTTTCCTGTGAAACTGTGTTTTTAGACGACAGCGATAAGGTGTTCGGTAACTTCGATTTCTGAAGGCCGCTTTGTATCGGAGAATTGATGAAACAGGACCAACTTACCAGAATATTTGGTTTACTTAAAAATTTTCCTTGATTAGGCTGGATATTTGACAAGGGCGGTATCGTTAATATAGGCCCAACTATATATAATCGACTACAATGGTATTGGTCTGGCAGATTAAAGAAATTTCATAACCAAAACAAAAAAAACCCTCCATATTGCGGAGAAATATTTTTTCACCTTATTCTGAATAAGCTCTTTATGTCCATCACAAAGACTGCTTTATTGAAAGTAAGCGCACTTTTTTTCGGTGTCGATCACGTATACATGAAAGTCAACAGCATTATTTAGAAAGGCATTAAATAACGGGAATTTTTTATAGTGCCCTTTCATTGTGGTGGTTACAGTAAAATTGGCAGAGCATCCGATCCAAACAAATTGTTCGAACAGTTTATATCCAGGCATACAACACATTATGAAGTTAAGCTAAAGAAATAAATTGCAAAATGAAGATCAGACTTCTAGAAATATAAAGTAAGGTTATTTAATAAGAGATTTATTCTTATTTTGGTGTAGCTACAAAAATAACAATACCCGAAGGGTTAACATTTTGGATAATTTCTGAAGTGGGTCCATAAGATCCTATTTGATCACCAGTAAAACCATCTGTTATTGTATAACCACTTTCGTCTGTTAGTCCCAGGTCCTTTCCGGTCATAGTAACACTGGTAGGCATTCCGTTGAATGCTTTATTCAATACCGCTACAGCTATCTTATTATCAACTAATGTTCTGGTAAAGACGTAGACATATCCATTAGCCAGCTGGAATTTATAAGATTTGAGATGGTGGATTTTGATTTATTTAAAAAAAAAATACCCCCAGTGGACCACACGGAATTAGGAGTTCATACGCAACTATGGTGTCCGACAAAGTAGCTTGGCAAATCATAATTCTTCTTCCATTAGAGTGAATGGTCGCTTAAGTGGCATTATCTCACTGTGATATTTTTCTTTACACCAAATAGAAGTCACAATAGTTCTTCAGTGCACAGAAAAGTTGAAAGTCCGAGGACCTTGAATAAGTCATCTTCACTCAAAATTCCAGTCGAATTGGCACGGATAATGGGCACGGATAATCCGAGAAAGATCAATGCTAAGAGTTTTAGCCAAGGACTAGCTGATTTAAAGGATCCCTTGTAAAATATAGTTACTTTCTTTCAACACCTATTTATGTAAACTCTTAGTTAAAGTCAGTTGACTGAATTTGCAAACGCTTTATCCCGTGTGGAAATTAAAATGTTTAAGAAACTTACTTCCATCTTAAGGGTAGCCTGATGACCCAAGGGATCTTGGTTTATAGCTAATATATTTCTATTTTGTAACAAAGCTTTTGACGAGTTTCTAATGTTCCTCAAATCTACTGACATCAGCAAGGGAGATGCAAACATTGCCCACATACCAAAATGAGCCCGTTCTTCTTCATAACTTAATCCAAAATCACCCACTATCACCTAAAAAAAAACAACCTGTAAAAATTTAGACTCGCAACAAATAACTTATTTTCAGCAACTTATTTTGGGACGGTTTGTTTGTGATACTGTGTGTAATTCGTTTAAGATCTATCCAGTGTGTTCAGTAATCAGGATTTTTATACCCAAACGCATGTCAGTGTGAGATTAGATCTTATGAATAAAGGATTTTGACAAAATTTCATTCCAAAGCGTAGGCTACAGTCATATAGTCGGAAACAAATAGTCTGGATTGCAGAAATTGTGTAAGATTGCTTCAAAATTGGTTCCATGAGAAGTATTAGTTCTGAGATGCGTGATGTGAATTTGGGAATTGCCTTACCTCATCTGGATCTGCCCAACCACCAGGACCAGAAAAGCTACTAAAATTTTGAGCATCTTTAGCATAAAAATCAATAACACCCACTACGCTGTCCCAAGAATCTTCTATATCCAATCCGGTTCTCCACATATTACAAGCCTGTCGTATTGCGGTAAAGTTACTCTGTAATGCAACATTGTAATGAGGTTAGCATCATAAGCAGGGGGCGACCCCCCACCCTCCCTCCTTATCCCGAAAACAGATAAATACAGGAAAAATTCGGGCATTTAAAACCTGTTGGCTTCTGGAGGCTTCAATGGTCCTTAGCTTCCCATTTTTAAGATATTTGAATGCCTTTTAATTTTTCCGAAAGCTGTGCGGAAATTCGAAAACACACTGATAGGATATCCAATGATTAAGTATGATTAAATCCTGATTTGATACTTACTTCACTTTCCCCATGAGGCCATTCACAAGAGAATAGTATTGGTCTTCCCGTTTGATTCAAGTAAAATGCCATAGCTGGAAAACCTGTAAAAGAACGACAGCTCTTATGTCACTGACATGGAAAAACCGAATAGTCTAATCCAAGATCCATTAGGGGCTGTGCAAATGCAGTAGTTTCAGAAACTTGGATATGTGTCAATGTTTGGCGTTTAGTGTTGTTATGGATATTTCACAAAGTTGCATTAAAGGGACGAATGCGCCATTTTTTGACCAATCTACCTTAGTCTCAGAAACCGGATTTTTTTTTTTATAGCTAAGCCGATCAGTAATAGTGTTCACAGCTCCTCGTCAAAATTTGAACCTTCAAATCCATGTGTGTACAGAAAGTTTGAAAGACATCTGAAGAAATAAGAACAGAATTTCCTAGTTTGAGATATTTTTGAAGGAATTTTGAGATTTCCGTACATTTCTAGTGCTTAACGAGACTATTTACATATGTTCAAGACTCAAATAGTCCCTTTAATGAAATAAACATCACGGACACCTCATCCCTAACAAAAGCTTAACACTTAGGTTTTACTCTTCAATGATGTTTATATCAAAATAAATAGCTCAATTGCAACTTACCGTATTGAAAATCTGAAGAATACGAGTTACAAGTATCAAATTTTAACAGATCTATTCCCCAATCAGCAAAGGTTTGGGCATCAGTTTGGAGATAGAATTCGCTCCCTGGATACTTGGCACATGTTTCAGTACCAAAATCTTCATAAATTCCAAGCTTGAGACCTTTACTGTGCACCTGAAAGGAGCACCAACTACTATTGCACATCTATAGTTCTCATAGTCATCATTAAAAGCTTTTATTATTGGAAGAATAGGCATTAAGTTGGTATAAATAGGGGAAATACATGTGGTATAAAATTGATTAATTTCCCAAGGTCCATCTTTAATCGAAAATACTCACATAATCTGCCAAGGCTTTCATTCCACTTGGAAACCTCTCTGGATCCGGGACAAGACGACCATCTGGTCCTCGCTCATGAGAAGGCCAGCAATCATCAATGCATACATACTCATAACCAGCATCTTTATATCCTTCAGATGCCATGAGATCTGCCATAGTCTTAATGAGATTTTCACTGAAATAATATACACAACGTTTCAACAATCTTTATTTACATTGCCGAAAACAAGTAGTATACATGGACCATAAAATTGTGTTCCGTTATTTAATGTGATCTCTACCCCTAAATGTCGTTGAAGGATCATAAGGTCTTGTACACACAGACGATCCAACGATTTAGCACGGTAATTATGCTCTGAGTTATGCGTATAAAGACGAATATCGGCAATCGAGGACAAGTTTTCCAGTGCACCGCATTCTTTTCTATCCTACTGACTAGAATTTTAGTCGTCAGTCCAAGTCAAGCACCAATACCGTTTTCAAATGTCCAGTTACAAACCTTATACAGTTGTCCGGATCATTAACACAGTCTGTATTACATCTAAATCTTTCCCAATCTAGCCATCCCATTGGTGGTGTCCTAGCTAGTCCATTGTCTGCTGATTGTACGAGTATTGGCAAAACACAGACCAAAAGGAAAAGAAATGCCATCGCCTGGTGGTAGATTCTCTGAAATGGTGTTGAAAGAGCATGAATTGTGTATATTCATTACTAAAAGCTGACAATGTGGTTAAGAGCATTGGCAGCAAAATAGTTCGAAAAACAATAATGTTTATTGCCTCTAACGTTTAATTGGTATGGTCATTGCTAGTGTTTGCATTATATACAGAATATCTGCTACCTTCATCATCATCAGACGCACCATGTCAATTCCAAATAGAACTATAAAGATCAAATTCATTTTCATTGGCAAACTTTCCGTGTTTCAGTCCTTCACATTGGGAAACTAGCTCGTAGCCGGCTCCTCTGTATCAATCGCGCCAATTTGACTGCACTGTGCATTGCTAAAATGTATTTGCGATTGTTTCAAATATATTTTTTTACTTACTCCAGTCCAGAAAGTGTAAGAAATATGAATTAAAAGATGCTATCGAGATAAGTGTAATTGATGTCAAGGTCTGGTATAAGATAAGTTATAATTTTGTATGATATCAATGTCTGATAAAGATCTGCTCCTATTATTAAGTCGCTTGAATATATTTTTTTCGAACTTAACTTGAGCTATCTGTACTACTTCTCAGATTAAACAAATTTGCTGAAATATCTGCATGTCAGTAGACCTCATAAGTGACGAATCGGGCGTCTTCATGCGCACGAGTCGTACCTTGATAAAGGAATGGATGAAATTGACAATTTGCGAAGTAGAAAATTTGACAAAATATAATCTTCATTGCTCAGACTGTTTTAAATTGATAACATGCTACCGGCCTAAGTGCGATTTTTTATTTAATCGCACATAAACTAGCTGGTTGTCAGAGTGTTATGTTTTAAAGCGTTGCTTATTGCTGAATTTGAGCTGTAATGGCAGATAATTGGATGTTATTAAGTAAGTATCGTTGACTGTATATGCTTTGAAAAGTCTATCTGACCATGGTATTGCAGAGTTATTTTCTTTTCGTTGTAAATAAAAGTTGTTATAAAACCTTGTTACACATGGATGACTATTTTGATACATAATTAATACAAATAAAAGTTAAACTTTACCTGTGGAAGAGAGAAATAACACAGTTAATTTCAATACAAGATCCTTTTTTACACAGCATAAAATATGAATCTTCAAAGCAGAATATTATTACCTCCCTTTACCTTTTCAGACCACAACAGTATGCAGAAATTTAAGTACCCCTCCCTCCTATACAGGTTAAACTTTTCTTCTCATTCTCTCGTTTGTTTTGTAAGATTTGTGGTACATAATGGTAGACTTACTCAACTTCTTCTGTGTGGATTGTTTTCCCCACCTAAGCGGACATCATCCCCAACCAGTAGTAATAGATGAAATGATGTCTTTCCCTTAGGCCAAGAAATAGTAGAAAAAAGGGTGTTTGCTTCCTTACGAATAGCTACAAACATGTGTAAGAAAATGCTAGTAATGTCTTAGTCCACCACTGTATGAACGCTTTTTGGTAGATTGTAGACAACTCTTTTGGAATATTATCGCTAGGACAACGTTTGTTGATTGCACACGTTGTGAGCATCATATTGATTTCATGATATGAATAAAGGTTTCCTTTCTCTTCGCATTTTTATTTAAAGTCGATCGAGATCCGAGACGTTGAACTTACTAAGCTCTCTGAGACGGACAATGAACGGACGGATAAAAGTGTTTTCTATGGTGACCCGCTGGTTGCTAGCCCGTAGCTACAGGAAGCAAGGCGTGGCATAGAACAAATGGATTACCCTCACCCCACCCCCTTTCCCGAAAATTTCTGACGACCGACAAATTCCATTACTGCAACTAAACATTATACACTATATATTGCCCCTCCGGACATATTACCTGTCCCTCTAACAATCAAATCTTGCAGCAGACCAGTCTGGTTGATCGTTTTCTTAACGAATTGTTCAAATGGTAGATAACTCTACAGGGATATTATGGCTAGGACAATTTTTGTTGAATGCATGTATCTTTATGGCGCTTTGCTTAAATGGTATCATTTTTATGTCGTTGAATAATGAAGTCATTGTTGTAATTTTACGAACATATATCATTTAGTTAACTCAAGATTAATGGATTCCAGGAATTTTGTTTTTATGAACAGGTTGGTCTTAATGGTATCATTAATTTGTACATTTATTGAAATGGTATCAGTGCTGAATCCATGGGTAGTCTAATAAGTTTTCAGAATTTACTTGAAATAATTAGTAATTCTAAGTATCATGTTTCATTATCAACAAGTATGTATTGTAATTTTGGTTAAATAATATCTTCTTTGAAAGGATAATGAAATCTCACTCTAAGCCTTTAAATTACTTATTTTAAGGATTGCAAAGATGTTTTATATTCTATTGAAAATATTGTTAGTGTACGTATTAAAGAGGTTTTCTAAAAGGTTAATGTGTATCGGGGTCACTGATAGTAACAATTTGCGCCATTCCAATTTTAAATCAGGCGTCTGTGGTTCGTGCAATTTCACAAAAAATAAGGCTTTGATGACATCACTTATCGCAAGATGCTTGCATCACTTAGGGCCCTTCGCGGTAAGTGACGTCATCAAATACTTAGTTTTAGTGGAATTGCAGGAACCACATACGTCTGAATGAAACTTGTAATTTTACAAATTGATCCTGTGTCTCCGATACAGATAAAAAAAAATCAGAAAACCCCTTTACAAGCGCTTTAGAACCTTCTTTTGTGCAGAATTGTATGAACCCTGGACATAGCTGATTATTGGAATGCCCCTCTTTACAATCTCTTTCAGTGTCTCAGTGATATTATTTCTAATGTATGGTAACTTTGTTGAGGTGGTATCATTTTTGTATCCAAGAATAATGAAATCCAGAATGTTCAAGATTACACCTACTAGTCTCCTGGTGGCGTGATTAGACTTTTACGACTTTCCACATATTGAAAAGCTGACGATAGAATTATGTTTTTTTCATTAAACATATCATTTCAACTCATAAAATGCTTCATTTTCTGTCGATAATAGTTAAAATAGCACCTTATAGACTCTTTTATTTCTTGAACAGATGTGAAATTAATAGTAATACAAGCGATTGCCTGGTTAAAGTCTGCTAGATTGAATCTCTCTTAGATATGTATTCTCTATTTTCTATACGTCGATATGCGCCATAAAGTCTTAACTACCATCATGGAACAAATAACATGCGATTTAATATCATAAATGATTTGCTTAGATTAGACATATCTTGAATACGGTTACGCGAATGAATATTATGAGTTTATTATGATCATCTTCTAAAATAAAAGTATTACTAATTTTTTGCATCGTATTGGCAACATAAATGCATGATCATCTTCAGAAATTGTGTTTTTCGAATCATAACTGCTGCGACGTATGTTCTTCTTCGCTTAATTTCCGATCATCTCTGGTTGCGATTTCTCGAGATTCGAACTGTAAGTCAAGGCGGATGTGGCAATTGTATATTTTTCCAGAACTGCATTACTTTTGTCCGAGTGACCGATATTATGCTACTCAGTCGATATTGTTTTTTTTTCATTTTTTGTTATTGCTGCACTATTTTTTTTTATTTCTGAAAGTTTTATGGGTAGCAGGAATCAGTTTCTGTTAAATATTTGGACGACTTTTGCCCTTATAGGGAAAGGTTCGCCATCCGTTTGACCAATCGTACCATGGTATCAGAAACGGAATTTTTTTTAAGCCGATCAGTAACAGTGTTCATACCGTCAAAATTTGAGTTTTCAAATCCATGGTCTGCAGAATTATCCGCGTTTGAAAATTTGTGCTTCTTAACTCAAAACTATGCTAGAAAGAAAGTAGAAAGATATGACCAAGTCTTCAAATATCCGCTAAAAATGACAACAGCAGTGTCTTTCCGCTGGTTTAAATAACTGGAATGCCATTATAGACAATATTAAACTAATGCAAATATATTGATTTCACATATTTAATGTTTTAAGACATATTAGTGTTAAGATGTCCTAATAAACACTATATCAAGTGATTTATATCGGGGTTATAAAGTCAATTTCATCTCACTATTAATGAAATATGTTATCAGGTCTTTACTTTAAGACTATAAATTTATATTAATAGTTATCTAAAGTTATTATAACGAGAGTCCGAGAATCTGTCCAATGTCAAGCGAAAAAACTACAATAAATGACACATTACTATCGTTATATATATGCTCTTGTTCTGGATAAAAATCGCTTCACAAAAATATATGCAGAAACCAATCGTTATGATTTATGCAGTGATTCTATTTTGTCACTCTTAAAGGATTTAAAGTGGAAATATGTGCCGAAAAACAAAATGTATTAGAGATATATTTATATCATTGTCTAAAGCAAAGTTCAAACTAGATGTTCTATCGAATAAAGATTATCTAAAAGGGCAAGGAAAATGGAATAGGACTACTTCGTCCATTGACTTAAATAGAAAACATAATGATTTTTCAGTGTTTATTATAATTGATACATCTGTGTTCAAAGAAAGAGAGATTTTGAATACAATTCTTGTTATTTTGAAAGTGATGCATACTTCATCTTTAATGTGCATAACTTGTAATTTTTGGTCACCAAAGTCCCATGTTTTCAAGTGTTTTAGAATAACAGTTTATAGTTGAATGAAATACTGCTTGGCATCATTTAGAATCGGAACCATTTTTCATTAAAAAAAGATTTTCTATCGAGTTGATTAAATTGTTACGAACTGTATTAGCCAACCATTCGAGTTGTAAACAGCGTCCTACAGTTACGCTTCTGAGGCAGTAGCCTTTCAATTTCAGACTATCGAATTTTGATGTGTACGAGCCCTTTAGACCTTAATGGACAATGGACAGTTTATCGGACTACGTCATCCTGGACTACCGACTCTAACCAGCTGATCTAGCAGGCATGAAATTAATCTTACAAACAAATCAACAAAGCAACAAATTGATATTGACTTTAACTGATTAATGTCCTTTAGTAGCTATTAAATTCAGTCATAACGCCAACATACAGCAGTTATATCGCTCTAAATTGGTTCAGAAGTACCCTCAACGTGAGTTTATCAAAGGCTATTGAGTCCTCAAGCGTAGGGTCAATGGTGTAACGACAACAGTTTCTTATATATAATAAATATGCACAATGTAACAGTCAAAATGTTCCAGTTGTTCTACATTTTGTTAGGATTGAAGCAAAGCTAACTCTGTAAGGTATTGAGTACTTCTGAGTCCTCAAGCGTTGGATCATTTTTGTTATGCATAGCTCCGAAGAATATGAATATTATGCCCATATGTTCTATAATCGTTGGTTTCGATATCATTCTTTCTTGATGATATCGTGAAGACAGTTCTTCCAGTAAAACTGCTATATATATTTTGTTGTTTTACGCGTTATTTCATGCATTCTCGATTTGAAAGGGCCTAACGTGGGATCCACACATAAAAAGTGAGGCTATTTTTTAAAAACTTCGAATTGAAATGAAAAAAAGAAAGATTTATGAGTGTTTCACGGTGTTAACAAATTTCTGGTTTAAAAATGTCGAGAAAACACAGGAGACAGAATCTTATTGTCAAGGTACAAAGAAAGACTACCGATAACTTGTAGATAAGAAAGATCTTGGGGTTTATCTCCACTTTCAACACAGCATCTAAATATTTCTTTAATTGGCTTGAAAACTAGGAGTGATAAGGTAAAACTATTTGTTAAGGTTAATTTAGCATGGGATGCATTTCGCTGATTTATTTACGAGGGTAATATGAGTTTCCAGGCAAGGTTTCGCCACTTTTATGACCCAAAATCATCATTAAAATGCCAACCTAATTTCTCAATGTAAATCTTTATATTAGGAAAGAGTTGAAAGCTGAATTCGTCAAGGATGTTAACTCAGACGTATCTTTTTCAGCTATGGTTTCAATAATGTGAATTGATTTGACGTTTTAAATAATCAATTTACAACCATAAAGATAGTTTTAGGAATTTGAATCGATGATATTTATACAATTTGTATTATTCAAAAGGTTCATAAAGATATCTTTAAGAATTTGAATCGATGAAATTTATAGAATTGGTATTATTCAAAAGGTTCATCAAGATATCTTTAAGAATTTGAATCGATGATATTTATAGAATTGGTATTATTCAAAAGGTTCATCAAGATATCTTTAAGAATTTGAATCGATGGTATTTATACAATTGGTATTATTCAATAGGTTCATCAAGATATCTTTAAGAATTTGAATCGATGATATTTATAGAATTGGTATTATTCAAAAGGTTCATTAAGATATCTTTAAGTATTTGAATCGATGATATTTATAGAATTGGTATTATTCAATAGGTTCATCAAGATATCTTTAAGAGTTTGAATCGATGATATTTATACAATTTGTATTATTCAAAAGGTTCATCAAGATATCTTTAAGAATTTGAACCGATGGTATTTATAGAATTGGTATTATTCAAAAGGTTCATTAAGATGTCTTTAAGTATTTGAATCGATGATATTTATACAATTGGTATTATTCAAAAGGTTCATTAAGATATCTTTAAGTATTTGAATCGATGATATTTATACAATTGGTATTATTCAAAAGGTTCATTAAGATATCTTTAAGAATTTGAATCAATGATATTTATACAATTGGTATTATACAAAAGGTTCATCAAGATATCTTTAAGAATTTGAATCGATGATATTTATACAATTGGTATTATACAAAAGGTTCATCAAGATACTTATTACGAATTGAATTGATGGTATTTTGCCAAGTAGTGTTTTTAAATGTTGTTATTTTATTTCAAAGTGTTAAAGGTTCATATATCACAAATTAGACCACCTTCAAGGGTTGGGACCTATGATCTAACTGTTGACCTAAAGTTCGAAGGTTCTGTTTTGAGGCCGGATATTTGAAAAACTTTTCGCTATCACTATTTTGAAACTACGTATCACATACCTCATTCTGCCATTTCTGGACTCACGCTATAAGGGGTAAATAATCGAGCTATTTCACTTACGAACTTACGTTTATTTTGGCACAGTTTCTTTTCTTTTTTTTACAAATTTGGTTCTTCTAAATGTCCTTGGTGAGAAGTAACTTTGTCATTGTTTAACGACAAAAATTGGTATGCTGAATTGAGATCTCCTGATTTTAGTAATATTATAGGCATTTTTTTGTTACGTCCGGACTTTATGCTGGATTCGAAAAATTTTCTCAGTGCAGCATCATGTGTGGCATCCCAATTTAGTGACTTATCACTTCAGACTAAAGAACTCCTTTCAATTTCTACATACACCAGTTATTTATTGGCCACGTTTTGGCTACAAACAACCACATCTGTAAAATCTACTCAACCAATTCGATTAACTTTCATCAAATTTATTTACATTCACTGAAAATTGATGTGGCCAAAATCAAAGAAATCTTAAGTACACTCTTCATGCATTGCCAAATTTACGATTTCGGATTTCATCAACTTTGAATTCAATTAGGTGAGATCATAGAATCATGTACAAATCATGGTACATTTCAAAGGGAGTCTGAAAAAATGCGGGAGAATTGCAGCATTCACAAACCCAATCCTTCTCTTTAAGATCGGCTCTTTTCTTTGCCTTATCGGATATGCTCCTAAACAGATTTAACAGCCCCAATTGGTCTTTTCATATCACTGTAGAACAGCTGTCCTCGAATCTCAAACTGTCAAAAGTCGTCTTTCATTTCACCAAATGGTAAAGCGAATACTTAAGGCTATTGATGGTTTCCAACGCTTCTGGTACCCCTCTTGCACCCGTCGTGGCAAAATCTGCGAGCAACTGGATTATAGTCCGATCTTGTCGGGGACTTGCGCGGTCAAAATCTGTTTTTTTTTTTGTAAACAATACTTTATTCACAATTATATATATAAATATACATAATGAAAAGGATTTGGGAACAGGCTTCACCCCTCTCCATCAAATATATTAAATCTGTGACCATCCTGTTGATCCAGTTGCTAGTAGTTTTCACTTTTCGACTAAGACGGATGCAATGATATGCTCTGAATCACCAATTATGGTGGTGAAGAATGAAGGCGTTGACCAAAATCTATGAAATTTTGGCCCATAGGGCACCCAATTAAGCGTTTGGGAACTAGTAACAAAGAGCTCAGGCGACTGTATTTTTTAAGTTTTGTACAATATGTCCTCGCTCCACTTGAGTCCAGGCACCAATTCCTATAATATTACTTCTGAAAGGCACTGAAGCAAAGACAAGTGAAATAACTTTTGCGGCTATGTTCATATATAAGTTCACATGCCCACAAATGACCCACAACAGAACAAAATGAAATACATTTTTGGGGTTTTTGAATTTTATGTCGTTTCCAGATTTTATACAAACAAAATAGACATATTCCATTATTCTACAATTAAAAACTAGCATTATTTACAAATCTATAGTAAACATGATTTCTTTACAAACAATAGTCGACAACAAACAATAAACTAACAAATAATAATTAACAACTAACTGATGATACTAAATGCTTTTTATTGGCAGTTTACTAGAGAGTCATATGCGAAAAAATATCGAAGACTTTTTAATTAGAACTAGACGAAATCCATAAAATACTATGAGAGTGAAAGCGTACATGTTTGAATAAGAAAAGAGAGAATTGCGTGTCTATAATTTGAAAGGTAATTCTTAAGTTCTAATTCCAGTTGGTTCTTGTCAATGTTCTTTCTCAGATTTTCCAAACCCATATACATTGGTATAAATAAGTAATTGTCTCTGTGACCATTCCAATTGTGCCCCTCCCATTTTTTGAACCCTTAGGTGCGCCTAGTTTATGAAGTTTACACAATTCTTCTTCAGAACGGTCCAGCACAAACGGGATACATAACATAGTTGAATGAATAAAAGAGAAATGTGAACGAGTGTCCCTATGTGAAAAGAGATGAGCACTATATTCTGACGTCACTTCCTGTATATTCTTCCTCTATTAGGCTATAGAAAAAGAAATAGCAAAATAGGCACTCACTTGAAATAAACAAACAAATTAACAATAATAAATAGAGCGCGAACATTTACATATTTTTAAAATGTACAGTTAGCATTATTGCTTAAATATATACAATTTAAAATTTAAATAGAATTGAGGTCGCTCGTTGCATGTCCTTTGTCGTACGTAATAATTACCACGTAATCACTTTCACTGTTCTTTTAACTGTCTGTACTCCGATTTGAACACATGGTTTAACGTCACTTCCTATTCCTTTTCTGTCAATGATCAGTCACTTCCGTTGAACATTGAAAATATCACAAGTTTTATTGGGACTTGGAGTCTTTAAAGGGACAAGTGTGGTACTTCAGCTGTGGTTTTTTCTTCAAGGCGAAGAGTTCTGGAATTGAAGTTTGGTGATGAGGACGTACTCACAAACACGTGTGTTCTTCAATTTGCCGCGTGCACTCCTTACACTTTACATAACAGCACCACAAAAATTTACAAAAACACCTTTCTTTGATGGTCACAATGCGAGTCCGATAGCCTCGACCACAACACAAAAGTTCACAACCGTCAATAGCTTTGGACGTTTTATTACAGATACGTCCATGGGTACCGAGTGACCCAGTCTTTTTGTCTGCCTCACAAAAGTCCGGAGAGGCTACCATGTACACTAAGTCAGATTCTGTATGTCTTTTAAATTGAGGGTTCAATGGGACTAATTCATTACGTGTTCCTTTAACTTGATGTTTCACTTCCGTTGCTCCGTCAAATTTTTCTTTGAGGATTTCGCCCACTTTTTTAAACGATGGCATGGCTTTCCAACAGGTTCTCATTTCACACGATCCCGACACACCGTGACATTTACATTCTACTTTCATGTTAGCATCCACAGCCTGAAAATACAAAGAAAGTAGTGGTTAAAAATTAAATAACGGAGACAATTTTATGGTATACTACTCCTTAGTTTTATTACTCACTTCGTGTTCTTAGGGGTATCTCGGTCTATCCCTGATCTTTTGGATCTCCAAGAGCTATCGGATATCCCAGATCTAGCCTCGAGTCTTTGGATATCCCAGATCTACCCAGAGCTCTTGGATATCACAGAGCTATTTCAGATATTTCAGAAATCTATCTGATTCTCGAGATATCGGGGCCATCCTTTGTGGACACAATGTCAAGGAATCTTAATGGTATTCGCGAAATTTGAAATGTTATAACGTTTTAGATTCAGATTTGAAAAGAAGTTGTTTTTGAAAAAGTTTTTTTCTCTGATATGGTAGAAACATTAGGCACTGTGTACAAAGCTAACTACCAGCCACACACTGTGTGATTTATGGACTAGTACTAAACTTAACCACTTCACCAAACACCCATTTAACATCATGCAATTTTCATCATTCACGATTCTTGCCAAATATTTTCTTCGTGGCACCTTTCATAGATACACTAATAAGCTTATACAGATCACTAACATTGGTTTTCTCTAATACTCTCATTACCGATCAACTTATTGCAATTGGTTCACCACATGCATCGTGGTTTGCTTTCAGCACTTTTAAGCACTACCTTACACATCCCATTGATGGTGTTGTCATTTTGTGGATTCTACTTGAATGATAAAGATTGGAAGAAATGGCCATGAAATTGTGGGCTAAATGGAGTTTTACGTCCTCCTATAGGGAATTAATACAGATTCTACGTTGATCAAATATTTCTACTTATCGGAGCGTCGATAACTAGTAAAACTTGTGGAAGAAAATGCACCGAGATAACAGAAACAATATGATACAAAGATCATATGGCAATCATCTGGCTTAATAAAATATGTAAATGATATGCTTGTTAGTGGGCTATGCTTTCGGCCACGGAAACTATATAAAAACATCTAAAGTGACGCCAATTTTACTGTTTCCGTGTATTGAGTTTAACAGTCCAAGAGCTATGAAAATAAAATAACTAATCGGTAGGTGCCGAGAATTATTCCATGTTTATCAACGAAAAAACCTTCCTCCTGTTTCTTCAAAGAGTTTCTGTTGGAAGGCCCACATACCCTCGTCTAGACTATTAGAAGTATTCTAAGTCGACTTGTGTTCAAGGTGTCAGAAAAACAATACATGATACATTTTCTAACAAGTCCAATACCGAGATACACAGATAGCACGAATATCAAAATACCAGCGTGGAATATATTTCTTTTACCGAATACCACCTTTTATTTTTAATTAGATACAGTGGAGGGGCGATTTGCGATTCATCTCAACCAAACTGCAAACGCATTTAATAAGAAGCAATGAAGAGAGATAGGTACATCTTTTATGTACATTCGGTTGCGTTCTGTACAATCCAATTGCTGCACTGACGAAGAAAGGTGGCTATTGCAGTCGAGGTATAAGACGCAGTTCGTAATAGTTTGACTTGGGAAGATGTGATTCTTTATCAACATATATTATCAGAAAACAGCCCATAAACATAAGTAGACAACGTTTATACCAGATTTATGAATGATATGAAATATCCGACATTAATGAGAAACGGTAAAGATAGACTTTAATTAAGTGGACGAGAATCTCATCAAGTTTTATCGTTTATTTAACTTATAAGAGAATTCCAATCAACTCGTATAGGCTATCTCATAGCATGGTCGAGAAGATCTTGTAACTGAAGAACAATTGAACAAATTTTGGAAAAAAATATCAACAAAATTCCGTTTCAGCATTGAAGTTGAATATCAATTCAATCAAAACCAAGAAACATAGACCACACACAGAGTGTAATTTGTTGACACTCGTGTTAGATGTTGCTGATGCCTCTAGGCTCACCTTTTTAAACAATGACCATACGTACTTAACTTGATGTCAGGAGCTGATATGGCCCAGGGTTTACGAGGAAATGTATCTTTATATACAACCATGAAAGTGAAACGGAACAAAGATTTTCCTTTCAAACCCATAGGTAGATTTTCATCGCCTTCAGTGAGTTGTAAATTATAGTTCGAGGCCTTTTATGATATTCCGAGTGCAACGAAATCAAGGAGATTTAATAGCCACTTTTTTCATTAAAACTCCCTTAGCCATCCCCTTTGTGTATTTATGACTCTTGGTTTGAACTGAAAGTTAGTGTTCGTCAAACAAGGGAAATTTATGGAGAGCCGAATAGTGAATGAGTGGATAGCTTAATAAAGTTTATTTAATACCGATAGAGTTTATAGCTCATAAACAACGCTAGAAGTAATTGTTCCGCAGAGAAAGGCTCGAAATTATGAGAGGCAAACCCCCTTTACATAAACCTTTCTTGCATTTAATTGCCCAATCTTTGACAGATAAGGGAAGTCTTTATGACAAAGCGACAATCAAGATCATAAAACTCACATGAACTCTACATGAGTTCGATATAAATCGAAAATTATCAAATAAACATGTTGTGGACTTTTCTGTTGGGGAAAATCGTAAAAATAATATAAGAGTGCATGCAATTGCTCGGTTAACAAGAATAGCCATATGGCAATTGAAATAATTTACCATGAAACTTGTTCGAATTCGACATTTCAATATCATGGTTGGATAACAGAATTTTGTAATCTGGGATTTAATTGTCATTGCTAGCAAAACGTCATATCCTGTAAATGTCCAGCGTTTAATAAATAATTGTGTGGGCTGTCAAAAGAGATGTCATATAAATTCCAAGAGTATAACTGAATGATGAATTATATCATAGAAAGGCGAAAGAACGAGCTTGTAAAATGTTAATTAGGAGAGTGGGATGGAAATTAGCATAAACTTCACATATTTTACTGCAAACCTTTAAACTCAAAATAATGTTACAGTAATTCATGGCATCCTTTTGAAATCATCGTCAAAACGTTGTCAGTCCGCAGTATTAGTCATGTTTCAAGAATTATGGTTGCAAAGCATTTGAGTGTAAAACAATCCAGTCCTACTTTTCTTCAGCATCCAATACCATTGGCAAATATGACTGTCTCCCCGCCGTCAGTTTCAGGCAGTCTACAACCTCAAATGTTAAAGTGATGTTATCACAATAATTGAATGTAAATTGTTGACTATCATAATCGAAACGCGATAAGAAAGTTCACGGATAATAGCTGCCGAGTTATTTAGAATCACTAGGATTGCCATTGAATACACTGTAAGATTTTTGTGTTCGAAATTGTAAGTCCATTCCAGCTGAACACGATTCTGATATCTAAAAATTTTAACCGCAATTCGCAACACATTATAGTAAGTAAGTTCACTACCTGTTCAATGCTAACTATTTAACAAATTTGTGCCTAATTGGGAAAGCCATATGCTAATATATCTCTGATCATGTGTTTTCTATACCAATTGGCAAATTTGTTCCAAGTTGGCAAAACACTATATCGATATACGCCAGATTGTCTGGTGGCTTTTATTCTGTTAAATTTACAAATAAAGTTTACAGTGAATGGCATACCATTACCTAATAGTCGGAGATTAGACTAATAATATATCATTAAAATCCAGATAAGTATAGAATCGCGTGTTTCGATCGCCATAATGCAATGCAAAAAGTCTGCAGCTATCAGAGGCGGAAAGTGTCGCTTGGGTATCTGTGAAGCGCGCGGTTGTTCAAATTGTTCAAGTGGTGTATTTGGGTAATATTGCAAATCCATCAGGAGAAAACAATTTCTTTTGAACCCTTTTTTATAGTCTGGACCCCTGCTCTGTAACATATCAAAATCCTCTAAAGAGAACCCAATTAATTCAAACCAAAATTCTTGTAAAAGAAATCAAACTGATTACATAACTTTCTGACACCAAAATATTTGAAGAGAATATCAAGTAATTTGTGGTTCAAGTGGATTGTTTATAGTCAAGTTATACAATAAAGACTTCCTATTGAGAGCTTTATATCTTTTACATACACCTTTTCCTGCAATAAAACACACGCACAGTTAGATTGAAATACATTGATGGGGTGAGCTAGAAAACACCACATAATCAAACTGCGTTGGATCCCATTCACACCATTGGCAGTTGCTGATAATAAATGAAGCCCTTTTGGTCATTTAAACTGAGAATTTTTCCTTTAAATCTTTTAACAGCAGACGATGTGGATATTCGTTCTTATTTTTTAGGTGTACCTCAATGGTTACGAAGTACAAATACATTAAGACACAAACCAAAATATATCATGAAGTATCATTCACTCAAACCCTTCTTAACTTTTTTACTGAAGTAAGTTAGACATGAGTCAAAACTCTTTTATTTTGCCAAAATACTTCAGTTTGAACGAGATGAGAAAATGCGAAACAGTGGCTTCTAAAATAATAGCTTTACCACCTGGTGCATTGTGGGACTCTGTAGGAACGCAGAAACACATTCTCGCACTTTCTCGTCTTTATTTACATGTTACAGACGCTCGTTTATCATAGATAAAATATCCCTTTTCTTTATCATTTTCCTACTATTGTCTTTCTTCACCTTTTCAAAAAATACTTATTAAAACAAACACATTACTGACACGGGCATCCATCATATAGCACGTTATGGCTAGATGTCACTCAATATGCTGTGCTAATGCCAGGTAATTCTGAGAAGAGCTAGTCTAAATAATACGGTACCAACAGCATAGTCGTGGCATTCATGACAATCACAATTAGGTGTTGAAAGATCGGACTTCATTCGCTTGTTATGATTCCGTGCCTTGAAGTATTTAACCATGGGTGTTTATATATGCTACCTTTTGGGAACCAAGGAAAAGATGCCTTCGTTCATCAAGCTGTTATAAACAAATCCAATTTATTTTCGTTGAAATTATGCCATATGTATCGGCAGTCGCAGACTTCCATTGCAGAACTTCTGCATCTTAACGCATAAATGATGTATTTGGTCCTTCTGAAAAGTTTCCATAACTT